TCTGTAAGTCGTTAGTCGAGATTCCAGACTTTTCAAGAACTTTCCACAGTATATCTGTCAATTGAAATGAACTTTGGTTATTTGGTTATTTTATTTTCCCTGGGCTATATAAGGGGCTTAAGACACGAATTTTGAGATTAGTTTTTATTTAATAAGAATTTTACACCAAGATGTTTTCCCCATGGAGCCTGCGTGCTTATGGTTTATTGTTTTAGCTATTGATGGATTCCATAGCTAGTGCAAGATTCTTGTTTGAGTTTTTTTGTTGAAGATTCCAGAAGAGCTTGGCAAGACTCTTATCAATCAAGCGATCACACTTGATAGTGCCGAGTATCTATCTCCACATATCCCTTTATTTTTATGTTAGTTTGAAGTTCGATTCAAGTTATCCAAACTTGAGTTGTTGTTGAGTGTCTCTGATCAAACGAACCTAGGCTTTCACGAGCTCAGGAACTTATCATGGTCTCCATTGCATGGTCACCTCCTTTACTTCACCTTCACATGACCTGAAATATCTTACTTTGTCAACATGCTCACTCAAGATATATGTGCCCCTGATCAAGGTCATTTGTATGTTGCACATTGTATCTTGCCCTACCTCAAACAGTCACATGGGCGTGGTCTTTTCTTGCCCATTGGCAGTCCTCTTTAGCTCGTCTCTTCCAATGATGTCGATTGGGGGATGCCCCACCACTTGACGCTCAATTTCAAGTTACTTCATTCGACTAGGCCAATCACATGTCTCGTGACGTACTAAGAAGCATCTTATTGTTGCTTGTTCCTGCGCTAAAGCCGACTATCGTGCCATTGTCAGTACTGTTAATAAGCTTCTCTGATTACTTGTTGATCTTGACATTCCACAATCTTGTGCAACCTCTCTTTACTGCGGCAATTAGGCTTCTCTCAATATCATACCCAACCCTGTTTTCCATGAGCTCACTAAGCATGTGGAATGGATTGTCATTTCGCTCATGAGTGTGCCTTTTCTCATGATATCAAGCCTCTCAAAGTAGCATCCAGTGACTAGCCTGCGAACCTATTTACTAAGGGACTCATCATCGGCCAGTTCAGCCACCTTTGTCCAAACTCGACATGCTTGACATTCATTCTTTTGCTTGAATGAGAGTGTTACAGTGTCATATATTTGGGTGATTAATATGTAATTAATCTTTTTGTTTCCTTCTTGTCTTGAGACTTCCGTGTAGTTTTGTGAAGAACTCTTGTCCATGTCAATTAGGTTTCTTAGTCCTCTATATAAGTAGTAGGTTAGCCGTCAAGTTTCGTACACTTAAAAACAGAAAAATCTCATCAATATATTCCATTCAAGAGCTTCAAGCTCTCCGTGAAGTAAGCATTGTTCACGTCAAAAGTCAAAACAGGAAACCAAGTAAAATTGTTGTCTTGTGTTTTCATTTATTTCTGCTTTCGAAATTTTGTTTTTTTTTTTAACATAAGATAAATGAAATTGATAAACATTAAAATTATAAAAGTTATTGAGATGCCAATAGAACCGCAATGTAATACTGTGTAACATACAATATTAGTAACCGCGGGTTAGTTCATAATCTGATGGATACATGACATAATCCGATCCACTGTCGTATCAAACTCACAACTCAACTGATCCATGCACCTGTCACGAACAGTAATTAATCAGACTGACTCTTGACGGGAATGGGATCAATCAAATATCTGCTTAATTTTCCGATGAAACGAACACCAGGTGTTCTATTTGAGATTTGGGCCCCCAGACATGACAAAACGCTCCACCCATCTTTCATTATTGGGCTTTGGCCCACTGTACACTCGGGTCATGTCATCAAACATTATGTCACCACCTACAACTTACACAAGTGTAGGTTTACAAATAAATAAACAAAAACAAAAAAGACCAGATCTTTAGTACGACAAGACGTGCCAAATTTGCAACGGTTCGGTTCGGGCCGGACCGATCATACTAAAGAGAACAGTGTTTGGTCCAAAGAATTAAACCATCATTGCATTTGGTCCAGTTGGTCCGATCCAAATATTAATTCAATCCATTTTTTCGTTTAGAATTATAAAATTCATAGTATCAAGAACCGAACAGCATTATGCTCAGTTCGATAAGCTCCGATCCAAACACTGACTTGGATCGATGTGATCCTGTACAGACCGGGCCATTGCACGCCCCTAGTGCCAAATGCCAATGCTGAATATTATTAGTGTTATAATCAACCATTAAAGCATTGGAAATTGCGAGCAAAAGCGAGAGGCAAATACGGCTCAAGATAGGGTGCATAACCATGGGTTATGCACTCATCAATAATCAAATCTGGACCCTTCATTTAGAAAATCCAGATCTAAGGATGGAGAATTAAAGACCATTTTTATTTTCACTAGCTTTCTTAATTGACTCATATCTTTTTCGTTTTAACTCGGATTTTAATTTTTTTTGCACAGATGGAACGAGTTCATCGTGCTCTACAAAATGAGATCAATTTTCAATATTTTTTTAGGGAAAATTTTTTTTGGCCTCTCGGTACCAACTGCATACCATATGGTATCTTCTTCGTTTTTCATTCGTTTTTGAAAACGTTTGCACAGCAGGGACGAGTTCATCATGATCTATTGGATCTACAAATTTCTGGGTGAACAAATTACAAGACCAAAAAATACCACCAAATACCATACAATACCACCCTGGTACGGGGTGGTATTTTATGGTATCTTATGGTATACAATGTTAAAAGTCGTAAATGACAATTAATATACTTCTACTATCATGTATTCAATCATCCTACAGTCTTGGTTTGTTCATACCACCATGGTACGCTTTTCAAACCATAGGTATGCTCTTATTTCAATACCAGTCAATACCATATGGTATAGACTGGTAAAAAATGGCTCGATTTTTATTTTTGTTCGAAAAATATATCAAAGTGGATATCATTTTGAAGAGCATAATTAATCTGATCTAACTGTGCAAAAAAAATTAAATTTCGACTTAAAACGAATGAGAAATCGTCCGTCAAAGATTAAGGAGGGGAAAATTAAAGGCTTTCCAGGAGAGAGAGGATGCTGATGTCATGCTGATGTGGGCGGGTTACTCATAGTTACTCACCATAAAGTTACTCACCTGATCCATTCCCGGCAAATACCAAAGCTGAGAAGCACAACGTGATTAGCAACTTTCCTTATAGCTCCTAAGTAACAATTTCCTTAATACCACAGTGATGCAAAGAATCGTGCGGACCACAAACATAATCATTAGGTGGAGATTCCATACCAAATCATACATATATACTACAGACAAATTACTTAATACACACAGCAGAGATTGCTTCTCATCTCTTTCTGTTTCACATTTTCTATTCATATTCAGATTCTCTCCTTTGATTACCAGCTACCTACTTCACTTAATCCGTGTATTTTGTTGTATACTATAAATCAATCATGAAGTATACCATGTACCCAAAAAAATGGAATAGTGATTTTATCATACAGGTCTCCCCTCGCCAAGAATCTCCAAATGCTAAAATAACAATCTATTACTTCTTAAATGTTTATTGACTCCAGAAATTCAGATCCAATATGTTGTCAATGTTTTCACCCTATAATACTGCTGCTAGGCCTTGCCCTACCTATTCCAACTGCGTTATGACTTATGAGGAATGGTAGGTACCTCCCAACTAAAGTGTTCGATTATTTATGCATTATTTCCTTAACAACATTAGGGGGGCATTCTAACTATCTAGGTTTGCATTTTATGCTATATGTGAAAATTTTAATGTTGCATATATTATAATCGCGTCCGATTTCAACTCCTAGTCCTCCTCCTCCTCCTTTTGATAATTTTTCTAATGTTTACATAAAAAATTAATCTCGTACCACATGGTCTAAATACAAGGGATTAGATGATTTTATAAGGTCAAATTAATTATAACAATTAAAATCAATTAAGATAGGTCACATGTATTGGATGTTTGGACTCATGGCAATTGGCATCAATGTCATCACCCCCTAAGACGCCACTCTAAAATTTGACTAATTAAGTTTTGAAGCACTCCTCATGGTGTGATTAGGGGAGTAGTTAGCATATACCCCTTCTCGTGTGGCTATGAGTGGGGTAGTCAGAATACCCCCTAGTGTGACGAGGTGGGGTAAATTTGACTAAATCTAGAGAGAATGGTGGTTCTAAGAACTTGATTAAGTGTTGGAGCACCCCTTCTGGTGTGATTAGGGAGTAATGAGCATGCCCCTCTGGTGTCAGTGAGAGGGAGTAATCAACATGCCCACTGGTGTGGTCAAATGAGATGGATGGCAAGGAAGAGGCGCGTAAAACACCCCCCCCCCCTCGTGTGACGAGGTGGGTGCCACCATAGTTGCACGAACTTTGTCAAGGCGAGGAGGCCCAATGTTGTGTTGAGGAGGGGGTCATCAGTATACCACCTGGTGATTGGTGAATTATTTTTTGTCATATTTACCCATGTGATTCAAATACTCACCTACATGTGGCAAGACGGGGTCTTCATGCCTTAACCGTTTTTCTCATTCCAAAACTCAAACTAAGGAGAAGCTACAAGAAGAGGGGGTCAAGACTGAAAAATGTGACATACCGCTATCCAATGTCAGGGCATCACTGGAGCAGTTGAGAGGATAACCGTCACTCCATGTCAGCTGAGCAGTTTCTCGAGACAGTTACTTCTAGTGGTTGTATGTAAATAGAAGGTGAACATGACAGAGAAATGGTTCACAATAATCACAACTTGACACGTAATATCAAATTTTATCCTTTTATCTTTTCATCTTTAAATTTAGTCATAGTTGTAATTTTGGAGCTCTCACTAAACCATAATATAAGTAGAGTTAATTTAATTTAACTTGATCCCGTGAATCATAAAAACATCGAACACTCTGGTTGAACTTTGTTCAAAGAGTTCCAATAAAAAAAAAAAAACTTTGTTCAAAGAGGAGCCGAAAATTGAAAAAGCTATCACAAGTCACAACCCCAGGAAAACGCACCGTTTTGGAAGAACCTGGAAGTATACTGACCCGATGCATTCGCCTTCCCATAGTTCTTCCCCTGGCTTGGGCGGCACAGTACTGTCGAGCCGGTGGAGGAACGGCGAGGGAACGAACAAAAGCTGAGCCACCTTGGACGAGTTTTCTTTCTCATCAAAATGGGTTATTTTGCTTCTCCTCTATCCTATTTTTATCTTCTTTTTCTCGCTCTTCTTTCTCTCGGTCTGTGCTGATGTTGATGGGTTTCCGTGTTTCTGAATTGTGTTCGATGGCAGAGGACGGTGAACGAGGTGAGGAAGAACAGCTGGAGGTGGAGGTGAAGGAAGGAATAGCATCAATAGCTTTGTTGCCATGTGGGTCAATCTCTGGACACTTCATTCAGCTTCCTGGGTCCATTTGCTATGGCCTTCACGGCACTGGTAAACTAACTTAGCTCCTTCCTTTTGTCCCCATTTTGTATGTAGAATCTGCATTGAGCTGATGTAGCCTCTTGTTTAAGTCTCGAATCAGTGGATGTATGATCTGTGGAAACTTTGTTGGTATCGAAGTTTGGTCAAGCTAGTCCTGTAAAAGTACAAGCTAAACTGCTGTTGGATGCTAGGTTTGGTTCATAGTGTTCGCTTTCTGGCTCTTATTCTTTCAGGTGAAGTTGAGTTGGTAGAATGGTTTTGTCATGGATACAATGAGTTTGAGAAGTTCTAGTTCAGCCTGAGATGCTTTGGTGTCAATGTGAGGGTGCAATTTGAACATATTTACCTCTCTAGGTGCATAATGGGTGGGTTTGGTTGGGTGTATTTCTGAATCAATGTGTTGGCTTTACTTAAGAGGTATTTCAAAATACATTGTCTTGTTTGATGCTTAGAAAAGTGAAATCGACTGTAAGAAGCCTCTCTTGTAGGATGCATTTCTCTATTTAATTGAACTGGAGAGGAGGGGAGTCACAGTGGGAGATCAGTTGACAGAAATCTGAGACCTTTCTCTAATGTGTCCGTATCTCAACCACCACATCACAACTTTGTTGGAGAAGTGCATTTTCAAATACTTCTGACTCATGTATTTGGGATTGCATTGTTTTGATGCATTTGATATTTGCATGTGGAATTTAAAATCCACTCAAATACATCATAAGTATCAATGAAAGACGATAAATTTTGCTCAGCTGCGTGCTATCACTAATTGTCACCCTCCCAAATTCCTTCACCTCAGTTTCAGGGAGTTTTGGCCGACTATTTTTTTAAATATAGATTACTATTATTTTCTCACTATGGCCGTTTCTTGCTGAACCTGTTCATTTCTGGTTCAAAAGAGGTAGCTTGTGAAAGGGAGTGCAGCAGGGGTGAGGATTATCGCCTGATCAAGCTTACCATCATTGACTATAATGTATGCAGCACTGTAGTTGTCAACTTCCCTTCTCCTTCTTCCTTCATATCGTCTTTCTTATTCTAAGTAATCCTAATACTCCTTAATGAATGATCTCTGCTACAGAGCAAGAAAGAGCAAGATGTCATGGTTGAATGTAGAGGTCATGATGCTGCTCGGTTATCTAACATCGACCATGCTCATGGGTACCAGAGAAACTTGATTCCTTGCCAACTCCTTAGCATCAAACAGCAGTTTAAAAAGTTTACAATATTTTTTTCTTTGAATGTTTTTTCCCCCCTTGTTCGGCAGGTGGGGAAAAGATGTTGCTGGCATGGTAGAAGATAAACATGGCAAAGAAAGCAAAGTGTCAGTTTCATTCGAGTGTGAGACCCTGAAAGCTGATGAAGCAGCTGCAGACCATATTAGGCAGTTCATGCCCAAATTATCTGGCCAAGCAGATGTTGTAGGTAGGTAGCTTCATCCATGTCTTGTTGTCGAAACCATTCAATCGTATATACCTTTCACCATTTGACTGGGGGAAATCGCAGATCAATGGTTTGTGAATATTTGTTTGATAGACCTTGTAGTGCTAGCAAATCATTTTTCCTGATTCAATTAATGTTCGGTGTTGTGTTGCAGTTAATATTGGGAGGATGAGCATTTCCGGGTTGAATTTTGGAGCAGAAGAGTAGATTAGATGCCCGCCCCTGAGGTTGTGTAGATATCCCCTGGGGCAAGAAGAACTCCAGCTGATTGTTAACAAATCAGCTTTGTGTGTGTTTCAAATTGAAAATTTCATAGCCTCCTATCCATGTAGTGAAAACAAATTGGAGTGGTGTATTTGTTGAGCATCAGATGATCGGGATGTGATCTGTAAAAATGAAGGTTGAGGAACTTGTTGATTGATGCAAAGTACAGGTCCTGAAGGTCGAGCAGAGACGGAGCAGAGACGAAGATAGAGTCGGATCGCATTATTAGGAGGATATTTATAGGGTAAAGGGCTTTGACAGCTTTTGACGTAATAATGTGGCCATTGAGACATGAAACAAGCTCGGAAGGTGATCATTTAATACAGACCGGTTTAATCACACGCAGTTTTGGATGAATCGTTGCAGATACACTTATCTGCAATTCTAACAATATGATGTGTACAGACAAGTTACAACATCACTTGTAAGTAATACTACCACAACAAACAAGGATGGTCAGTAACGCCTATAAAAGGCCAAATGCTTCAAACTTTCAGGCGAGATGCAGCAGCAGCGGAGCAAGCTTTACAATAGCAGTGGCAGATAGAGAAAGCATATCATTTTGGATTCATGTCCATTGTCTCCATTCAGTGAATCGTCATCCATGCTGCACAGAAGAAACATTAAATATAAAATGTCAAGTTACAAGTCATTCCTATTATTTCAGGAAAATCTTGTATTTCAGGACTCATGTATGTATTTGCAGAATACATGACTTCATGTAATTAGGAAATCTTTGGTAAACCAAAGCTTTCACGAATACATACTTCTGGTGATGCATGCATTGTTAAAATACATGTAGTCTATGATGTATGATAACATTGTCTCCCACCTCAAGCCATTTTATAGGCGTTACTGCCCATACTTTTGATGATGCAATAGCAATATAAAGAGATACATTGATTCCCACCTCAAGCCATTTGGACAAAATGCAATTCGAGAAAACAAAAGGTAGAAAATGCTAAAGATTAGTGTGCTTCCAAGAGCCAGCAGTCTCGGTTTCTATGGATACCAGCCCTGTAAAAGCTTTTAACTTAAAAGAGTTTCAGGATACAGACATACAGTGATTAGCATACATTCTGCTTTAGATTTTTTTCCTTTCTATTCCTGATCTTCTAGGAAAAGTTATACTTAGTTAGGAATTATTATAGGATTAGTTTCTTCACCCATTAAGCTTCCTTGTAACTCTTGTATAAGGAGGTTAGTTGTACAGCATTCGCATATCAGATCTCAGTATGGATTTTCAGAGCTTTTGGAAGAACTATTTCTTGGGATTTCTAAAACTTAAATCAACTTTAGGTGGTGGTGCGAAGCTTATCACTGGCGATCGGTGAAAACCCCTAAATTTCCACTCTTTCTCAGAATTCAAACAGCTCTATGTTCTACAGAGAATAAATATTACAGCAACCTAGGCACATCAGCAAGTCGCCCTTCATTGTTTATATTACTATTCATTGGAAATGGGAGAGAAAACATTTAATAATGAAGAATGCCTTAAAGTATTAGCTCAATATGATTCAAGAAAAAATGAGGTTTTTAGTAAAGGAAGATTACCTGGGTTCCAATCTAACTATCACTCGATCTCGGATACCTCTTCCGACTCTGACAAGGGTAAGAGGGTACATATTCCCAACATATGACCATTAAGGCACACATAATACTCAATGCAATCATCATAGGAACCCAATCTGCAGCTTGCACTTGTTGGTACCATCTTTGCTTGAAGCATGTTCCAAAGCTTCGCCTTACAATATGGACACACATGTGTAGGGTGCAGTGGGGCCCTTTTTTGTATCAGCATCTTCCTGACTCTTGACATTGAGAATGACTTGAAAATCCCTCTAAAAAACCCTATGTCCCCTTCATCCCCTTGGTCTAGATGCTCACATGGGTCCGAAACATATAGAACATCAGTTCTACATTGAGGCAGAAGAAAGGATTTCCCAGAAGTTCTAGAAAAGCGAGTCCTGTGAACAAAATGGCCAGGTATCTGAATGTTATTGAATAGACCACCCCTGGTACATCCTGAACAGTAGATGAGCAACTTCCCAAGTGCCCTCCAGTTTCCATCAACACTGTGACTTCCACTTGATTGTAGATCAACCATCATCTTTGGAGCCCTTGTCTTGCAGAACTCTTTCCACAATACTCGCTTGGCAAGATCATCAAACCACTTGCACGAACATGATAGAGCAGCTATCAACTTGGGGTTCCAGTTCAGCTGTTGAAAGACTAAAAATATAACGTCTTCACTTAGATGCCCTTTTGTGCATTGACAGCTTGACGAGTGTATACATCGGTATTGCTTTGTTAGAATCATTGGATGTACCTAGTAAGAAACAAAGATAATGTAGATAAAGTTAAAAACCAATCTTGCACACAATTGTTTGACTCACCTAGAAACTCTACAGAGACAGTCAGCTGCCCCTCTAAGTCTATCTATCTTATGGTCAGAACGACCCAGCATCAGGACCTGACTAGCCATAAACCTCAAACAAAGCAAGTTCCTGATATCCAACTTCATACTCACTGGACCAGCAGTTACACAAAATTGAAGATAAAGGCTACTGGCATAGCAGCTCAAGCATGATTCATAAATCAGCGCGAAGGAAGGAACTGAAGCAATGGCAACTCCCACATGAAAGCTAAGTCTCCTTGCCTCATGCCACAGGGAAAGCAACCAAAGCAGTTGCTTCCAAGTGCATCTTCCGCTGGGCTAAAAGGACCATTTAGTAGAACAACATTCCAGTAGAAGAACCGTCACAGCAATTGACAAAAACAAACAGCTGATCCATGCAGCATCTGTGCCCCTGCGGCTCTGCGTTTCCCATTCTGGATGACCTATTAATGACTTGTCTGAAAGAACATACTAATCTGTAGGTAGCTCAAGCCCCAGCAATCTCTAAGGCCTCCAAGAAAACATAGTACAGGGTTTACAAATACCCAGTACTCTACCAGCGAGCTGTGCTCCTTCGACGGGAGAAAGCAAACCCATTCTGAAATCTAAAAGCAGGGACAGTAGAATATAAAAACAAACTAAATAGAATCTGGGTTTGAAGAACAAGGCCAAAACCTTGAATTTCCGAGCAGCAAGCGATGGGGTTGTCTCCGGGCACAAGCAAGCTCAGGCAGAGACGAAGATGATAGAGTTCAATTGGTGTTTCCTGGCCGGAAGGATGGCTGAACTGTCCGTAATCCACCAAAGAGAGGAGAGACACAGGCAGCTGGCGGTAGATGCCGACGACCGGCGATCACTCCGCAAAGCTGTGCTTCTTTCTCTCGCTCTGTATTTCGATTCAACTCAAGGAGCAAAAGAAGGACCGGACCACTTCCCCTCCCTTTCTCCTATCCTAATCCGCCCTAAAAATCCATGCCGTCTCTCTCAGCTCTCAACCCCCGATCCAGTCTCCCCGTTCAGCTTTTGTCCTTTTCCTTTCTTTATCGTCATTTCTGATTTTGCCCCCTACCTATTTCTTTTTCTTTTCTGTCTTTGTATTATTTATTCATTTATCTTCCTTTGTCTGCCAAACCAAAGGTTCTCCAATGGAACGCAAGGGAGAAATATCTTTTTTGGAGCTCACATATTTTAAAAACGAAATATCTTTTTATGTTTGTTATAATTATAGTTAAATCTTTCAAAATACACAAAATAGTCACTTTCGAGTTTTGTTTTTGCGTCAATCTCTTTAACGATGTTATGATTGGACTGACGAAAATGTTGAGTTGGTGAGGGAAAAAGGTCGATTCGCCTCTGCCGAAGGCTGCTCCAGCCGACGTCGATGGCAAACTGTCGGCGTTGAAGGTTGGATTTCTCCGATTCAGGGACTCGGGGAGTAGAAAGGAGAAATATTTTTTTTGGAGCTCACCTATTTACTTAAAAAATGTGAGATATACAATTTAATAAACCAATGAATCGTCAACAAGGCAACTCATAAGATATGGATCGATTTTCTCATAAATCGGTAGTCGAGTTGGCTTGCTAGTCACAATGTTGAGACATCTCATGAGCTCAAAATGAGACAGTCCACGAGTTGAGCTCAACAATAAACCAAATCGAGCTGACTCACAAGCCTCACGAGCTGAACAAAGCTTAGTTCAAGATCTGCTCGTTAATAAAAGAGATGAGTTTTTCCTGAATAAAACGAACTTTTCTCGAGTCAAACATCGAGCCGCTCATGAATAGTTTGGCTCATTAGTATGACCAAATTAAACCACTCGTATCAAAATCACTAATAACAGTAAGAACTCTTAAGGAATCAAACTAATTACACTTTTTAACTGAACCACCATTGATAAAATACAATTGGTTAATGTACCATTGTACACCACTGATCACTTGTCGTATGAGCATGTCATTGATGACATGATTTTTTTTAACATACAAAATTGTGTCATTTATTGATTTCGTTTTTTTCTATGCGAAAAATTAGTTGAAATGAAGAAGATATGGCTCTTTTAAAATTGATGGAGAAAGAAATAATGAAGGAGAGAGAGTGTATGACATATAGAACACTCTAGTTTACTAGAGGTTTTTTTATTTATATAATTATAAGTTTTAATTCTAATTGAAAAGGTTTAATTTATCTTTCCTATAACCATTCTCGTTAAAAAAATTCCAAATGGTGAAAATATATCCACAAACTGCATCGTATGTTTGGTTGATGATTGATTGATGCATCCATTGTTTTTGGGTGCAAGCCCGTTACTCCCCCACCCGACCACTACCCCAAGTCTCCAACTAACACAACACATTTCTTGTCATAAATCAGTTGGTCCATCAACTCGAGTAGTTGGCGGAATATTATGTTGGATCTTATACCACTCTCTAACAAGCCTTCTCAAACGAAAGCCAACTCATGAGCTCAAAGTTTGCACAGGCGATCACCATATCTTGTGCATTCTTAATAAACTATTAATATTGGGGTCATGGAGATTCGTACACACGGCCACTTTGCCAAACCAGCTCTGAATACTTACATATAATAGGAGCCTGCTCTGGCGATTGGGCTCGCAAGATAGAAACGATCCAGCTGGCCCAGGAGATGCAGAAGACCGAGTGGGTTGAAGAAGATGGTCTGGCCCAAGGTTGTACCCTTGCTGATGTTGTTGTCGAGAACCACTGTTGATTCCGCTGCCGCCACAACAAGAGGACTGAAGGGAGCTACTGCCGTGATTGCCACCATTACGTCCACCACGACGAGACTGGCCAGAGTAGAAGGTGGTGGGAACAGAACTCAAGCGAGGGTGTTCCTTCAGACCCGCTTCGTATTCCACAAGAGAATCAAGTTACTCTTCGATGGAGATTGTGGTGCCTCTAGCACGAACAGTTGTAGAGAAATGATTATAGTCCGAACCCAGACCACGAAGGCACTGAAACAACAAGATCAAGATCCGAAACAGGTTCACCAACGAGGGCAAGTTCAGTCGCAGTCAGCTTCAGGTCATTCACAAAGGTAAGAACTTCTTTGTCCCCTTTAATTATGCGATTTAACTTGCCCTTGAGATTGATTATGCGCGTTCGAGAACGACCCGCATATAATTTTTCTAGCGTCAACCACGCTTCACGCGAGGTACTAGCAGTAGAGAAGGGCATGAAGAATCAACTTATCTTGGTGAAACCAGCGACTATATGTCGAATTCGACCGATTGGTGTTGCTCTCTTCGATTGTTGATCTGGAGTGAGACTTGTGCCATCAATAAATCCAATGAGATCCAATCCCATGAGTAAACTCCATTAATAAATCCAATGAGATCAATTCGATTAGTAACATTTCAAGTTGAGACAACCAGGAGTTGAAATTCGTGGGAGTGAGCTTCAGTGGCAATTGGGCGACAGGGTTGAAGGTGATGACAAATTTTTTATTGGTCGCCGAAACAGAGGAGTCTGACATGACATGGTGATTGAACGTAAAGATCGCACGAATAGAGAAGAGAGAAAGAGAGGGGTGGATCGGGTCCAGCTAAGCATTACTAGCTCTGATACCATGTCATAAACCAGTAGGTTCCAATAACTCGAGTTGTTGTGAAAAGATTATGTTGGATGTTATTTCTCTCTCTAACCTTCCTCTTTTGAACCAACACCAAAATGTCAGACCAACATTAGGCGGCCCAATCAAACTCGCATCAAAACAAGGCTTGGGCCACGTTCTCCTTAAGCCCAAGGCATGGGCATTCGTACTCCCAACTCAACCACATTCCATACTCCTTCTGCCAGGCCCTTCTTTCAATTTGTTTGTTTCCTTCCTCAGCTCAATAGTCAATAGTCGTTGTCCTTTTTTGGGTGGAAAGCTCAGTGGTCACAAGTCTTCTTCCCTTTTAAGGATAAATGTCACATTTGGTCATTGAAATTAATAAATCATGTTATGTTTGGTCATTAAAAAAATTTAATATCAATTTTGGTCACTCCAATTACCGAAACTGGTCACATTTGGTCACTCTCCTGTAGCCTCTGTCCAACTCCGGCCGCTCGAATTATTGAAACATATCACATTTAGTCACTCGAATTACTGAAACTGATCATATTTAGTCACTCTTCCGTTAGTTTCCGTCCAACAACTTAACCGAATATAAATGAGATAATTTAGTTTGTTGTCTTACTATATAAAACGAGTCATTTCAAATTATTTGTACAACCAACAAAAAAAAAATTGCACCAATAAGGATCAATTGAAATTCTACATACCAAATTTCTTCATCAAACTAATCAATTTGATCCAACAACAAGTTTCTCTATTGTGTTTTATAGTGATACAACAATTCGATTTATTAAGGCGCAACAACTTAAAAACAAGTGATTGGGAAGAGAAATAAAGCTGACAGAAGCAATCAGTCAACTGTGATCCTACAATGAGAATGTATGGGCTCAGGCTTTCAGTTTTGTGCATACATCAGTTTCCATATCCAAGCAAACCTTGAAAAGGCTGGTCACTTTCCCCTGCTGCTGCCTAGCTGCTTCAGTTCCTTCCTAGCTATATGTCAAACGAAGAGTGGGGAAAAGCGTCGTGTCAATCAATCAATCTCTCTCGCTCTCTTCCCTTTTTTTTTGTGTCCTTCTGGCTTCTTGAACTGGTGGGTATTATGATCATGAATTCATGATCTGTTCATGTTACCGTCAGGCAATTGTCCCATTGAAGAAGCAAACGAAGGAAGTGGGCAAATTTCCAGGAGTAGGTAAGTGGCAGGAAATGGGAATGAGGAAGTGACACAGCAATAGTTGAAAAAGCTGGTTTGCTTATTGGATTTTAAAATAAGGGTTGGGAGTTTTAAATTTTTTTGGATTTAGATTGATTTGTTGCATTACGGATTTGAAATAGTTTATTGTTTAGTTGATTTTTTACAATGGATTTAAAGATTTGTGTATCATCCATGAGCATCAAAATTTTGTTTTTCATAACCAAATCCAAAATGAAACGCGGGTTTCCAAATTCACGTGGTCTACAAATTGGATTGGGAGTCGATTGCTTATTGGATTTAAAAAACAAAAGTTTTGGTCATATTTTGGGTTATGAAAAAACTTGAACTTTGTGATGGAATGGATCCATTATGGATTTGAAAAATGATTGTTTGCTTGTTGGATTTGATGATAGGTTTGGTCGAATTAGATTGTACGTATATAACACATTTTATAATATTTATGGATTTGGTCCAAATATCACCCATAAATCAGGTTTTTGCAAATCTGTGGATCCCATAAATTTGACATCTCAAAACTTGTCAAGCAAAATTGTGTTTTGTACCAAATCTATGATGATCATGGACTGAGACCCGAATCCATACTTCAAGTCCATGAAGCAAACTTTGTCAAAAAAAAAAAATCATGAAGCAAACAAACCCTAATTAAAAAACAGGTCAATCTCCTTGTGTCGTGCAGATTTGTATACCTCAACAAAAAAAAAAAATTGTGTCAAGTACATGATGCTAGGAATTTCAGGGCAAAAAATGCATCACCCAAATTCCACAAGCAAACGATATCTAAACAAAAAATTATAAGAGAAAAAGCACCCGATATCGAACTTAAATGATTTCGTGATATTCGTGACTATTCAATGAGAAATAGTACTCTCAGAGACTCGTTTATTATATCTCGACACAAATCCAATATTATACATATATAGTTACTTCTTGATCTGATCGTCAAACCCTAGCTACTATATATAGTTGGTTTTGTATCAGATCATATCAAACCCTAGCTACTACGCGGCTTAATTTGGGAACTGCGTCATTAAGGAAGTTACACAAATCATCCCTAATTAAGTACACTCGTCACTCTAACAATAGTATAACTGTGGCTTCCTTGCTCCTTTGTCATTTAGCCCTTTCTTGCAACAAAAAGTCAAAGATAGAATCCCAGCCATTGTAGAGCCAGTCAAATTTCGCAATTGCACGGTGGGATTTCGTGCATGCACAACGCAACAAAAGACGGGACAAGTAACATTACACGGATTTAGCCAATCCCTCATCCCAAAGACCTAATGGCCAGGCTTCAGACTTACTTCAGTTGAGCGACAAAGACAAAAATTAAGATCGCAGCAGGCAGGCAGGGAGACGCAACAATGGCTTTTTATGTGCAAGTGTGATGGGGTTTCAGAAAGAAAGAAAAAAAAAAGGTGGCAAGAAGAAGGAACAAGTAGTAGAGAAAAGTAAAACCTTAACGTTGGCACGTGATATGCCAAAATATGCTTTCTTTCCTCGTCTTGGCAGAGTATCCCCTGCCAAACTGCGACCAAACAGTAGAATCGAGAAAAGAGTTCCTGATCATGTCCGTTTTGTTATTTTTCCTCTTCTTGTGAAGAAAAAACAATATTTTTTTTTTTTAGTTGAGGGATAAAATTTTAGATTATAGCAAGGGGTCAAATTTCCATTTATAAGAAAATCTATACTACGGGGTGATTAGATTATAGCAAGGGGTCAAATTTCAGCGTTGTTGTCGGGGAGTCTTATAATCCATCATAAAGAGAACGAGGTAAGAATTCTATCATCTATTTTTCTTTTATTTATTATTTTTAGTTTTGTTCGTAATTTTAATTATGTTCGTGTTTATATCAAGTTTAGAAAAATATGAATATATAGTTCTTTGTTTGTTCTTGAAGTTCAAATCTAGTAGAAGTTCATTTAGAACTTTCCTGATTGCACTAGTAGACTAGAGTTTGCGTATTCTAAAAGGTTGTTTGCTTTTAGGATTTTCATTAATGATTTTGTATCAAAATCTCACACGCACAGGGTCATGCAGAAAAGTCCATGTTTGATATTAAAGAGGTGTTGGATTATGGTCTCTATACTCATGTGCGTTGGATTATTTTAGGGTCAAAATCCACGAGGTCCACAAATTATAAAATCTCACCCTTTTAATTGGGATATTGCAAGATACTAAAATACATTAGGGTAAATGACGGATATATCCTCATTTCATGTCAATATCACTTAAATCTTTCATGTCAATAATAAAATATGAATTTGGTGGGAAAGAAACCAGAATATATGAGTTTAATTGGTAATTGAGATTTGTTAAATTTGATGTTTATAAAATAAAATGTTTTCTATGTCTCAATGATAAATTCCACCGCACATAAGTAGGGTTGGGAAACCGGGCGATCTGTTCCAAATCATACCATATATACGTTTTTTTTGTCAAAAGATATCATATATTGATCCAAAAAAAGATAGTTACATCTTGGAAACTAGCCAGGCCCGGAAATCAAAGAATCGACTCATAGTCGGATACAAAGGGAGGGCTTTTCTAGCTACCAAATGAGCTACCCAATTGTTCTCCCGACCTACAAATCGCACACTAAACCCAGGATGGGCGCGGAAATAAAGACCTATCTCTTCCAGGACAGCACCCATCCAGTTAACCCTCGTGCCAGCTTGATTAATTTTATCAATAATCACTTTCACATCGCCTTCGAATCGGACCTCCGACAAGCCACACCCCAAACACCACATAATAGCCTCTCGAAGCACAAGCAACTCTACCACTGCAGGCTCATCTATCTGAGGAAACTGAATCCCTTTAGCCAAAAGGAGCGTCCGCGCCGGGTGAAAAAGAACCATCCCACCAGCCAAGAGACTGGAGTATATACCACAGACCATACCATGATTGTGCGGTCCAGACCAGACCACGTATGTGCGGTTTAGTTTGATACGGTTTGTTCCAGATGGACTGTAATGAACGAAAAATGAACAATTTTTTAAGTCATAGGGAGACACGATCGTCTCTACTGTATGATGAAATGTGGCTGTGAATGAGAGAGGGGACGGGTTTCTCAAAATTAGGGTTGGGACTTGGGTCTTGTTTGGGGGGTTTGAGATTGCTAACACATATTGTTAAATCGACCGAGTCCACGATTTAGTCTGACACACTGCGGTTTACACTAGACCATACCATACCAATACCAACAAATCAAAACATCATATAATACCGATCACAGACCAGACCAAAACATTTTTAACGGTCTACAATCTGTACCAAACTGTATATTCAAGTTTGATCCTTAATTTATCAAACCGTCTCATTTATTTTCAATCATATATCTACAATCTATATTCTTTTTCTATTTTATGAAGTAGCATAACCATATCCATATTACATTTTTCACAAAACTAGAAAGTTTTTATCGGTCTTGTAAAACTAAAAGCCGTAGAGCACAGTAGAAGGCGCCTCGGAAAGGAAAACGTCGCCTTTCCTCTCATCTCATCATTGTCACGCCGCCAAACTCAGCACCTCCCCTTCCCTCTCAGTCTCTCTCCTACTTATAACGCCAAACAAATAGAAAAACGAATGGCCAAAATATATAATAAATAAAATAAAACAAACTATTTAAAGAAAGAAAAAGAGAAAAAGAAAATTTGGACAGGAAAGGTGAAGCAACTGAAGAGACAGACAGTAGTCCTTTGCTGCAGAAAGAAAGAAAACCCCTTCCCTTCACCTTCTTACCCTTCCATCATCATCATTCCTTTCCCTTTCATAGTTTCAAACAACCTCTCTCTCTCATTCCTTTTCAGCTTTCCTCCGTCGCCCAGAAAACCTCTGTGTTCCCCTTCCTCCAAACAATCCCCTCTCCCCCGCACCACCTCCGACCACCGCCATGTCGCCGGCGATTCCGAATTCCCACCCCCAAACCCCTTCTTCTGCCCTAAACCCCAACGCACCGCCTTTCAACAACTCACCGGCGCCTCGCCGCTCAATGCCGCTCGCTCTTCTTCCCCCTCCTCCGACCAAGACCCAAACCCACACCGACGCCAAAATTTCGCCTCTCCCACTCAAACCCACCGCCGCCGGCGATCATTCCCAGGCCTTCTTCTATCACCCCGCTGTAATCCCCAACCCTAATCGACTCTTCTTCTACTACTACTGCTACCCTCTTCCTCATACACAGCCTTATGTGCTCCCTCCTTCCCCGGTCTACATGAACAACAACCACTATTACCACCCAGGAGGTTTCAGGCCGATTGCCATTTGCCCACAGCCATCCCCACCGCCGCTCCTTCTGAATCACAGTACGGAGACCGTTCCCGTCCCCGTCACCGAACCCAACCCGTTGCCCGCTACTGTTGTGCCTAATGGTGGGGATAGGGCTCGGATAATTGGGAGCCAAAGCGGCGATGATGGTGGTTTCAAGGAGGGGTGGAGGAGGCAGATGAAGAGGAGGAAGAGGAAGACGGCGAGGGTTGTTCACTGTACGGCTCACAGGAGGCAGAGGAGCTTCCGGTCGCTGCCTCTGGCTCAGTATCGCAAGACCAATAACACTTCTGCTACTGCGGCGGGGCGTGCCACTAACGAATTTTCTCCAGCCCTAACTTCTGAGGGAGGTGGAAGGACGACCTTGATGATCAAAAACATCCCCAATCGCTTCATGTAAGCTTGTTAATTAGTTTCTCTCTCTCTCTCTCTCTCTGGTTTTCGAAGCTTTTTTTTCTGTGTATTTATTGATCTAGCGTTTATGTATGTTCATGTGGGTAGGATCGAATTTGCTGCAGGTTCATTTAATGTTTATTATTCTCCCGTAATTGGGGATTTTTTCCCTTTCTGCATGAATCGATTGGGTGGGTTGAGTAATTGGTTTTTCCATATTTGGGGGTTGGTTGAATTGAATGGCAGGAGAGGTGACCTCCTCCGGTATCTGGACAACCATTGCGCCCTCCACAATAACGTGGGCGCGGCGGCGGCACGGCAGCTTACTTCTGCCTCCGACGCCGTCAGCGATTTTGTTCCGTCTGAGTACGATTTCTTCTACTTGCCCATGGACTTCAGGTGATTGAATCGATTTCCTTCATTCCTTCTCTCTCTAGGGTTTGTGTTCTCTAATTGCTAATTTTGCTTTATTGGGTTTGGCCTGATCTGTGAATCCAACTACTGGGTTTTGGTTTGTGTATGTGTAACAGTACCGGCGCCAATCTAGGTTACGCGTTCGTGAACTTCACCACCGCCATCGGAGCGTCGAGATTCGAAGCCTCGTTCCAAAACTACAAGTGGGAAGAGCTGGTGCGGCCGCCCAACTGGAGAAAAGTCTGCAAAATCGTCGCCGCTAAATTTCAGGCCAGTTTTTAATTTCCCACCCTAGCTAGTTGCAATTCCTTTAACTAACCCTAATTAGTGAGGTAACAGAAGTGAGTGTGTGGCTGTTAAATGATGCCCCCGGTTTACTAATTACTGCAGGGAAAGGAACGGTTGATTGAGCATTTCAGGGGCTCCAGGTTCCATTGCCGCTACAACTCCTACCTGCCGGCCTGCTTCTCGCCGCCTCGCGATGGTTCCAACGCATCGATCCCCATCCTCGTCGGCCAGCGACTGCCGTGTAAGAGAGAGTAAGATCAATCCATGTTCGCTCTAAGGTGTGCTTCCATGAGATTGTATGTGTGTGTTTAGTTTTAATTGGGTAAGTAGGCAATGAGATGAGTAAGATGGTGGGCTGTGTTTACATTATCTCCCCGGCTGGCTCGGGGGCTGGGGTGAAATGGAAACATGGGAGGCTATGGCTTCACCATGCGTGCGCCCAATTTTTCACATGTATGACGGTAGAGTCTTGGGGATAAAGATGGGAGATCTAAGAATTGGCGAAGAAATGTATTTGTAGGAATTTGGAGATGTGTCATCGATCGGCAAGTACTGGTGAATTTTCTGAAAGTGTTGTGTAATATTGTGTTGTGTCATGGAATGAAAAGTTTGATTGCTTCCTTCCTCGTGACAAAAAATACAGTCTATGTGCGGCTTATAACTTGTACATTTATTACTAATAATGGTTGGAGTTAGAAATTAGAATTGAGTGAAATGACACTGGTGGTGTTACAAGAAAAAAGAACTCGAAGCTAAGCTGAATTTGGAGTCACTCTGGTTAGTTCGTTGGGTAGAAAGTACAAATGGGTTCTTTGGATCTACGATTTGTGTCTAAATTTCACATAGGCATAATTTATCTTATAAGTTGGTCCCCGTGTTAGAGTGTGGTATAAGATTCAGCATAACCTTCTCTCAACAACTCGAGTTATTGGGACCAACTGGTTTATGACATGGTATCAGAGCTGGTTTGACCAAGTGGTCGTGTGTTCGAATCTCTACGACCCCCAACAGTTGATTAAAGCACAAGGTATGGTGGACCTGTGCAAACTTCAAGCCCATGAGTTGGCTTTCGTTTGAGGGGGCGTGTTAGAGTGTGGTAAAAGATTCAGCATAACCTTCTCCCAACAACTCGAGTTATTGGGACCAACTGGTTTATGACACCCCGTACCTATATATAATGTGAGAATTGACATGTTGGAATTGGGATTTTATGTTTTTTTCTGATGGATTGATCTTCACTGTTTTTGAAGACAACTCTTGTGATGATTCTGCCGCTTCCTGTGGCGGAGGGGAGGGTAGGAGAGTGGGTCCCGGGACCCACTATAGTTCGGGGTAGTTCGGGGGAAAATGGTTAAATTAGGTACGATAGTTAATTGATATCGAAAATTAGGTCGCGTTTAATTGAGAATAGTTGGTCGAAAAGTTTTGTGTTTGAATCTTAGCGACCTCATTTCTTAAGCATACGATATACAGATTTGTGCAAACATCAATTCGTATAAGTTGACTTTCTTATAAGGGAGCATGGTAGTAAATGGTATAATATATTATTGAAATCTTCCAACAACTTGATTTATTGATGCTAAATATTTTTTTTAAGAACATCATTCGAAAGCGAACGACTAGGTAAATCATGAATTATTGGTTGGTATAAGATTTATTTTTAAACCTCTATTAACAATTCGAGGTATTGATACTAAAGGTTCTTAACAAAGAACACAATTTGATACACTACGACTAACTAAATCAATGATTGTTAGGTATATATGCAAAGTGATATTCTTGATATTTTCGACTGCTAATGCATTTTAATTTATCAAAAGTTTTCAACGTAAGATTATATTAAAAAAACTATTTTATCAAATATATTTTTTTCGAGGTGGATCCACCTTATATGAAATCCTAGCTACGCCACTGGCCACTTCTACTCCCTAAATGCTTGTTCTCAAGGGGAACTTGCTTTCATTATTAGATGGATCTTGCTCTTATTTATGCTTATTAGTTGGTAGTCAAACTTTTGTTTTGTAGTCCAACTGTTGGCCGTGCATCTATTTAAAGCATCCACATTGGTATTGCATTCTCAATTGCAAAATGACATAACATAGGTGTTTGCAATTGCAAAACCAATTGCATTGATGTGGCTGCCAATTGCATATTTGCAAGCTTGCAACAAATGCAATTCCATATGCAAGTCAAAAAAGCCTAAAAAAATGGATTTTTTTTTATTTTTTATTTTTTTCCTCTTTTACTTAATTTTCTATAATTTAAACATAATATTTAATTACATTTGCAATTACAAGTTAATTGCATTGATGTAGGTGAATGAAATGAACGTGATGTGGATTGCTAAAGATTTGAGTTAACAATAAAAAACACAAATACAATTTCTTTTGCAATTGCATTGATGGAACTTGCTTGTTAGACCATCTACATCCCTACAATAGGATAGCAATTTCATTAGTGGACCCTACAGTCACGTTAACAACTTTAGCAATTATTAGCTTCAACCATTTCAAACCACCTACATCCTTGCAATAGGTTAGCAATTGCAATTGATGGGACCTACTACATATTCTTTTCTTTAATAATACTTTTGCATAATAGATAATGGACTTTTGAAAATTCAATAAACACAATATATAGCATACACCAAAAAGAAATAAAGAAAAATTACATAAAGAAATACAAAAATACCAAAAAGAAATAAAGAAAAATTACATAAAGAAATACAAAACAAAATACAATAATTGAAAATGAAATTAAAAAAAATACAAAATTACTCGTCATCTTCCTCTCCTCCAAAACGATTACAAATCTCTTCAACTAAATCTGCTTGAAGTTGATGATTTTTGGACCTATCACGAATTCTCAAATTATTTCGGAGATACTCTTCATACTCTAGCAGCCGAGTTTGAGAAAAAGTAGGCATGGATATGACGGAAGAGCAAAAAAATGTTATATCATATGCAAATGGAGAAGTATTTTGGTAAAAAGTGAAGTCAATTTTGTTTGTAATAATTTTAATTATTTTCTAATCCTATGTATGATTTTCATTAAGTTCTTGAATAATTTTGTGTGGGTTTGTATTTTGCATAAATTTGTTTGCTTTCTTGATGTAATATGAATGGTGTGTACTTTTAGTGTGATTTCTTTCTAGTTTTGTGCATGATCTTTATCATTAACTATACATCTTTATAATAAGTTTTCATGTTCAATATAATTAAAATATAATTTATGATTTATAATTTATTAACAACTTAAACAAATAATAAGCACAAAAATATTAAGTTTAACAATTTGTGTCTTCAAAGTGGGTAGAAAAGAAAAAAAGAAAAAAAGAAAGATTTTGAGTGCATAAATGTGGGGTCCAATTGTCTGTGTGGCATTGCAAGAAGGATTGCTTATTTAGCAATCTTGCTAAATAAGAAATAAGTCTCACATTGCTTAAAGCAATCCTTGCAATTGCTTAAAGCAATTGCCACATGGGATTCCACCCAATAAGCAATTGGATGGAGATGGTCTTAGAATGTTAGTTAAACTTTTGTTTTGCAGTGACGTGTATGTGTTTCGCCAGGGAAATTGTTGTATGTCTAAAGCGACTCCGTTCCACTCCAAGATGGAAGACATCCACCACGGCGCCGTTCGTGCATCAATTGTCCTTCTAAGTCACTTTGAAGATAACAAACCACTTTACCAGATCAGTCCCTTTTCTCATATCTTGGAAGCTTCACCTTTCAAAGCTGAAGGTCCTCTAGGGTAGACCTTTCAAAGTCGGCTCTGCTCTTGATTAGTTCTTCTATAGGGTTTATCTTTGAGTTTGTAAACTTCCTGCTGTATTCTCTTTCGATTCAAGACAAATTTTCTTTTCCCAGTTTCAAATCCAAAAATCCTTTCTTAGATCCGCGAGTACAAAACCCTAAGATCCGCCAGTACGTACACCATTGACAACAACCAACAAGGAAAAAAACGTCTTCTCTTCTCCCAGCAACAAGGATACCGGGAAGAAAATTTCAAGGTTGTGACCACTCTATATATCTACCAGCTTGCTTGGCAAAATAACATCTGTAAAGCAAACTACCCATCCAAACTACTTACCACCAAGACCTAAAGCAGCAAACCTAAAACAATGGAAATCAGAGGACACCTACCACTCTTCCTCCTCTGCAGCAGCAGCCGCCGTCGCAGCTTCACCAACAATCAAAGATAGCCCCAATGCATTTTCCTCCATTTCCATCAGAAGGAGCTGTGGATTCTGTTCACCTTGGTGAACCTGCACGGTAAAAGTGCTAAACCCTCGATACTCCGCCAGACGGCAGGCGGTTACGACATGAGGGGCGTCAACAACCTTCACGAACCTCTTCTCTCTGCACTTCTCGACAGCCTTTTGAACCTGTCTTTCAAGTTCCCACAAGCTGTGCCTTCCCAGCCCAGCATTCCTGCCGTCTTCCAAGTTCTGTAGGCTATGGGCAAACCTCTTCAGAAGTTAGTTTGAAGTGTTGTTGCAATGAACCTATACCATAGCAGATGAAAAGTCAGATCTATTTGATATTTACCAAAAATGCACCTTAACCTAAAGAGTACAAATCACCCTTGGAGGAGCTTGGATCGCTGCTGCTGCTACAACTTGCACTTCCGGGGTTGTTGCTACAACTTGTACTTCCGGGATTGGTGCTACAGCTTGCACTTCACCTTGGGCCGGGTTTGGGTTTAAACCCGTTCACTATTCAACGGGTGGGTTAGGTTTGGGTTTAGGTAAACCCGACACATGGGTACCCACCCACACCCATATAATTACTTTTCTCGGTATATTTAATATTCTAAACAACTAATCCTATTTATGTTTGTGGAGACATGTCTAATTTTTTTTCTAATTGTGTAGAATGAAGTTGATGTTATCGAGTGGAGAGCGAAGAAAATTAATTGAAAGGAATGAGCTTTCAATTAATCATGTTATTTATGGATAATTTGTGATTGGCTTCTTTCTTGAGTTTTCTAGATTGGTGTTGAACAATTTGTATAGCTAATTTGTGATTTGCATGAACTTTCTAGAATGGTGTTTTATATATGGATAATTTGTATTGAGATATTGATATTTGACTATAATTTTGATAGGAACTTGTTATTGTAAATTTTTTATGACAAAAACCCGTGGGTACCCATGAACTCGCGGATACCCAGCGGGTTGGGTTGAGTTTGAGTTTTTCAAACCCAGTGTGCTTTATCCCGGATTTTTTTTCACGGTTAAACCCATGGGTTTGGGTTTGGCAAAACCCGACCCATTGCCATCCCTAGCAGCAGCTGCTCACCCCCTTTCGTAGGGATCTTCATGAATCTCCAGTTCGCCATACGGTCCGGCGTTGACCTCCTATTCGAAACTGCAGCCTGGGGTTCTCCTCCAAGGGCGATTGAGCTCTCCTTGTCGGGAACAAGGACGGAGAGGAGAGATCTCCTTCTTCTTCGGTCACGAACGCAAAAGAAGCCTCTTCAGACTTGATGCGCTTCTTCGCCCCGAATGATTGTTCAATAGCTGCAAGAGGTGCTGGTGGTGAAGCCGCAGTGGTGGTGGTTGGTGGCTTATTTTCGTTTTTATTCAACTAGCCTATTTGGCATCTACATGTAAAGTTGATTGCTTTTTGGCTTATGTGGCAGGTGAGATGACATCGATTCAGCATTTCGTTAGTCAATTTAACGAAGTCTGACACGCTGTTATAGTTTCAAACGGAAGTGGATAGATTTGGCACACACCTGATAGTTGTGGATATATTTGTCACAAATCTGATAGTTGTGGATATACATTTGTATTTTGTTTTGTTTTTAAGAAACTTAGGTTGCAGCCAACCCTGCCATAGGGATGGCAACAAAACCCGAACCCACGGGTACCCACCCGACCCAACCCGATCAACGCGGGTAAAATCCATGTTGACGGGTTTTGGGTTTAAAATCGTTCACTATTCACCGGGTTGGGTTTGGGTTTAGGTAAACCCGACCCATGGGTACCCGCCCACACCCATATAATTAATTTTCTCAATATTTAATATTCTAAACAACTAATCTTATTTATGTTTGTGGAGACATGTCTAATTTTTTCTTTCTAATTGTGTAGAATGAAGTTGATGTTATCGAGTGGAGAGTGAAAAAACTTAATTGAAAGGTAGAAGTTTTCAATTAATCATGTTATTTATGGATAATTTGTGATCAACTTCAATTTTCCTGAGTTTTCTAAATTGGTGTTGAACAATTTGTATAGTTAATTTGTGATTTGCTTGAATTTTCTAGAATAGCGTTTTATATATGGATAATTTGTATTGAGAGATTGATATTTGACTTTAATTTTGATAGGAACTTGTTATTGTAAATTTTTTACGATAAAAACCCGTGGGTACCCATAAACCTGTGGATACCCAGCGGGTTGGGTTTGAGTTTTTCAAACCTAGTGAATTTTACCCCGAATTTTTTTCACGGATAAACCCATGAATTCGTGTTTGAATTTGGCAAAATCAGACCCAACCCAACCCATTACCATCCCTACCCTGTCGCCTATCCACATTTAATCACATAACTGGTTTATTTTTTCACAAATACTCAATGTTTCCATTATAATAATTTAGGAAAGGGAGTGTTTTTTTTTTTATAAAAGGGAGGCACAAGGCCAAAGATTACAATAGCCATACCAGAAGACGAACCTAGGAAGGAGCAGCTTCAAAACTCTAACCAACTGAGGTAGACGAAATTCTCTCTTAGACATAAACATTTTCTTTTGCGCATTCGCCATTTATTCAAAGAACAATAATTTTTTTGGAAAAAGTTGTGTGACTAATTTATCATCTCTTCATAATTAAAAAGTACAGACTAATGTTTGTTACTTATTTTACATACTAGTAAGTCCATGTCAACTACATCTGACATGGAGAAATTAAAATTAAAAATTAAAATTAATATTAATTACATTTCTCTCTCTAAAAAGAGAAATTAAATTAATTTTGAATTGATAGTGATTGTAATTAATATCACTTGAGGAGAGAGAAATGCAATTCTCAACACATAATTAATATCATCTGACAGAACCAAATTGCTCTTGAGACATAAATTGAAAAGTCGAAAGGTTATCACCAAGGTTGTCAACCTGCGGGTCGACCCACTTAGACTCTGGCTCAGTGAGAAAAACAGGTCGCAAGCACTCGTCGGGTCGACCGCTACAAGGTATGGGGTTGGATGTCAAATTGTATCATTTGTTCTTTAGTTTGAAATGCGCCTATTTTTCCGATTTTTCCTTTTCGCCTAACTCTTTGGAATTCTAAGTTGAACTTTTGAATATATATGTTACATAAGTGTGTGTGAATTTTCACTATATGTTTGATCTAAGTACGACATATTATTTTGGTGGAATATTATATGTTATAACTCATATGTTAGATGAGATTTAATATAATTTATCATGATAAGCAGCGGAGGATACAGAACGCAGTAAAGCACTGGGCCGCATTTTAATATAATATTATATACCGTAAACAAAAATAGTTAATATTTTAAAATTTTAGTATTTCAATTAAAAAATTAGTTACAAAATTACCAACGGTAACAGACAAATGACTAATATTTTGATGCGTTACAAAAGATTTAGCTAATATTTTGTATTTCGGAAAGTTCGGCTAATAATTTGGAAAGACTAAAAGGTTTGACTAATAAATTGTATTAACCCAAAAATATATGATAACAATAGTTTTCATTCACTACAATGCCAATTGTAATAGAAGGTTTTTTAATTTGGCAAATCCATCAATAATAATAGAATCTCCATCAATATCAATAACATACTCTCTCTCAAAGAAAATAGCTATATTCATAAAAAAAAAGCTAAGCAATCAACGAGAAATTCTTAACATTTTGTTGCTCAAATTAGTTTTAACATATTTCATTGCTTAAAATGTTCTCTCCATGGTAGCCGCTGAAACGGTCAAGGTCAACACTAGACGAATCAACCAACAAATCAACTAGTTTAGAGAATTTTCTTATTTCAATGAAACTTTATACACTCTTTTACATTTTAGACTTTATTGTTTTTTTTCAAATGAAAATCATTCGGGCTAAAATTCCTAGACTAAATTGAGAGTAATGGTTTGGATATGTTCATCTAAATCATTTTTCTAACTACACAAAATTTATTATCAAATAGCACTCGACCGACCATTAAATAATACTAGGCCGAATAACTAAAATCGAAAAATTTATAAGCTCTATATTAACTCTGGATCTGCCGGAGGGTTGGGCCGTGGCCCGGGTTGACCCAACCCTAGATCCGCCGATGATGATAAGTACAATATAATGACTCTTTCCATATTTCCGGGCTAAACCAAACTAAAACGCGTGACCCATTAACCCTTGACCCACTAGCTCCACCCGGTCCGAATCAGGCCACGGGTTTACAACCTTAATTATCAGTTTATCACCGACCCGTATCTCATCCCCTACTTGGGCCTCTTGGATATGAGAAAAGTGGGGAAAAATGTGGAAAAAAAATCGCCTAAACTGACGGTCTGGCCTACTCCGTTTCTCTGTATTACTGCCTCCCTCTCATCATTATCACAGCCGCCTAATCCAAATAATTACTCTACTATCCATCCTATCCCATCTTCCTCTGGTTTGTCACTCAGACACGCACTGGATCTCGTCTTTCTTTTCAACCGGATTTCCTTTTCTCATCACCTCACACACCCTCACCATCTTTTCTCTGCCCACTACAAATACATATATCCAGTTTCACATAGAGTGACTGATATACAGAGTCAAGAAAAGAAAACCCACTTCTCTTTCAACCCAAAAAAACTAAAAAAATGTGTTCGCCGTCGCCGGCGGTGGCCGTGAAAATCCGAAATCCCCAACCCACCAACAACTCTTGCTCTCTCAACCCACACGCAACACCCTTCGTTAATTCGGCCTGCCGCCGAGCCCGTGACCCCGCCGCCGGAGGCGGCATTCTCACCGTGGCGCCGCCTCAGGAGCCGATGACGTCACCGCCGCCTGCAGTGAGCATGCTGCCGCCTCTCCTCCCTCACCAATTCCTCAACCGCCCTTCTTCACTGCTCCCGCCGCCGCCGGTTCGGCCCACTTTTCCCCACTCCTCCTCCGCCGCCGCCGCCGCCCCAATTTCCGTCCCCACTTTCCCCCACCACCATTATCACTACTACTACTACTACCAACACCAAACCGCGCTCTACACCTCCTTCCGCCCAACCTACCCACACCCCCACGCCGCTTACCACCATGTCTCCGCCGCCGTCGCCGGTATATCCTCTTCCCCGTTCAATCAACAGCTGCAGTTCAGCCACCAAAACACCCACATCCATCCGCCTCCCAACGTCGTCCTCAGCTACACGGTTCAACCCGAACCCGAACCCGAACCCGCACCCGAATCGAAATTCAAGGTTACTGCTTCCATTAGCAAACTTCCGCGTCGGTTCACGGTGGGGATGATGACGGCGAGGAGAAACGGCGTTGCTCGTGGTGTTGGGTCCCACAGGCCTGTTAGGGTTTCCCCGCCGGCTTGGAAAATTGCTGGAGGAAAAAGGGTTTCCTCTTCTTCTTCTTCTTCTTCTTCTATTCTAAGTGGCAAGAAGAGTGTCGCCGCAGCAGCAAGTAAAGATGGCGCCACAAGCTTAATGATCCGGAACATTCCCAACCATTTCCAGTTAAGTCTCTAATTATGAACCCAATTCAATACCTCCTCTTATCTATGCATGTCAGAAAGCAGTAATTTGTTAAATTACTCATTTATGAATACAATCTTGTTTTCCCCCCTTTTTTTTTTCTTTTCTATCTTCTTCTTCGGATAGATCGATTTTTATAATGTTATTTTGGGCTTCTGGGTTTGGGAAAGAAAGAGAGACGCATCTCAAAGTTCCATTAATTGATTTGATTTACATTGTCTCCCTGCTTTTACTCGACCTTCTGGCGCTATTCTTATTATGATGAGGGAGAGAGTGTTTTGAGGGTTCATTTATTTCTCTCTGCTTCCATCTGATTTGAATTATTATTATTATTATTATAGGTGAAATTCTGTTCATGATCAGGGTTTTTGCCAGGATAATAAATTGTGTCCAGATCCAGTCCAATCACACATCTTTAATTCTATATCGTTTTTGCTCTTTTTGGGTGCATTTTCTGTGTTTATTACCTTGCTAATATAATTATATTAATTGGTTCCTCTCTGTCGTTGTCGTGGTGGGGGTGTTAGGAGGTTTCATCTGCTGCAGTATCTGGACACTCATTGCGCCGACGAGAACAAGAAGCTGCTGCTGGCTGCGGCGGGGCAGCAGAAGCGTGTTTCGCCGGTTTCTTCCTCCGGCGAGGGCGGTGTGGCGTCGGAGTACGACTTCCTTTATCTCCCCATGGACTTCAGGTGATCTAATTTTCTGCTCTTGATGCGTTGATTAATTATTAGCTTGTCACTATAAAAATTGTGCCTCAACAGTCAACTATGGTTGCTTCTAAACAGGACGGGCGCCAATCTAGGGTATGCATTCGTCAACTTCACCTCCGCCGTCGCAGCTGCCCGATTCGAGCAGTCGTTCAGCAACTACAAGTGGAATTCATCGGCCTCCAACTCCAAGATCTGTAAAATCACTCCCGCTGAGATTCAGGCAGGTTTTTTTTTCCCCTTTCTTCTTTCTTCTTCTTTGATGCTATATATGTGTTACACACGCGCACAACAGATTGATAATGCAGAAGAAAAAAAATTTTGTTGGGTGCCAGGGGAAAGAAGGGCTGGTGAATCACTTCAAGAACTCGAAATTCCGGTGCAGGTTCGACTACTACCTTCCCGTGGTGTTCTCCCCTCCACGGGATGGGTTGGGAGAGGGGAAGACGAAGGCGGCGGCGACTACTACTACTACGATCCTGATTGGGCAGCGTCTTCCGCCGAAGTTTTATCACCGTGGTGGTGGTGGTCGTCGTCATCTTGTTCGCCGCGACAACCGGCTGGGTTAGCTGCCGATGATCCTGTTAGTACCAGATGTTTAATTTTCATTCAGTGTATGTGAGTGGTTGGAACTACAGTGGGATGTTGTATGTGTAAGTAAGTAAGTAAGTAGCTGGCCGTGGATGGCGCCATTAGAGGGCGAATGAAGAGAGCCTGTGTTTTCATTGTCTCCCTGGTTGCATGCCAGCCCGGGGTGAAATGGAAACACCAGCCTAGCCCAATTCAGCTTCTCTAGTTGCCGTCTACATATTATCCCTTTAATTAGCGTTTACTTCTTGGCAAACAATCGCTCTTGTCAAATGGTTGGTCACTGTATGTTAATGTGATCGTGTTTCTAAAGTTAAGCTGTTTCTTGTATGTTTGGTTGGATGCTTGTTTGTAAAAAATTAACCTGTCTCAATAACTCGAATCGTGCAATGTCATCATGAGCAGCTAAGGTTTGAAGGGAAATGGTCCTTGTGAGTTGTGAGCATACGGCGTTGCCCCGGGTAGTTCATATACTCTTGGAACAATAGTCACTACTACGCCAATGGAAATTAGGAGTAAATACATCTAACAAAGCTTTTGGTTTGAAATCCATTCAAGACTTGGTTTGTTTTCATTACATCTTATAACTTATATAGCTCGAGTTTGTGGTTGCAAAGCTTCCGGTGAGGTTTAAAGTCTAGTGAAAGACGCCGTCGTAGTATGATAGGATGAATTGAGGTTGAAGGTTGCTATTTGGGGAGGGTTTAGGGTTTGGGAAGGGTAGGGGTAGGTGTAGGAGGGGGAGAGAGATATTTTCCTTCTATCATGTTATTTTCATTGCTTCTGGTTGAGTCGAGTTGATTATTCTTCTTGTTGTCCGTCCTCTTGGGTTGGAATGATTGAACAATGGTCAAACTCTACCTCCAATCGATAAAATTAAAACCCTAATTTGTGCAAACTCCAACTTTTTTCCCGCCCTTTAGTCAAACCCTAATTTACCCTAACCCTAATTTTGTCAAAAACCCTAATTTCGGTACAACCCTAACCGTATAACCATACACTTGTGTGCATCTTGAATGGTCGGAATTTGACAGTGGTATGTTAGCAACGGGTGTGTAAACCGAGGATAGTTTCAGGTCGGCCAATAAAGCCTTCACACGTGTCATTTGTCGAGCACGATAAATTTTTTAAAAATATTGGTACTCCTATCTCCAACCACCAACCTCATTCGTCTACTTTCACCACCAAAGAATTTTTTGTATCGAAATATGAACTCAAAAACAAAAGGAAAAGTAGAATTGATCTTTTTTTCCTACACAAAATCCTCAGTACTTTTGGCAGAATGTTTCCGTTCCAGAGTTGATGCTATAGCTACATACTGTTTGGCGAAGAAGAGAAAAATTGGAGTATAGGGTAATGAGAGGAAAATCTTCTTGAGGACTGGAAGCTGGACAGGACAATCTTTCCTTTCCTTTTCCCTTTTGTTTTTTTTTTTTTTTATTTGTGCATAAAAGGGATGGCAGTGGCAGGCCAAGGTAGATGGAAGATGGACAGTTTGCAGTTTTGGAGAAACATCGTTTCATTTTCACCTACAGGCTTTTTGCAGGCTACTCTGCTGCTGCTTATGCTTATCCCTCTCGCCTCCCCTTTTCTCTGCAATTCCAAAATACCTACCTAGTCTTCCCCTCTCTCTCTCACCATATCTTCCTTTTTCATAAATGTGAATTATTTCTTATTATTCTTTTAATAAATGGGTGCAGAAAAAATAAAACGATGAACAGTAACATATGGCCCAATATATCAAGTTATCAACAACCACTGCTGCTACTCTTTTGCCCAAAATATGGGATCTGATCAGAATCAGATCATTTTTCTAGTCAGATATCATCATTTTCATCACTACTACTACTACCCTTCGCCTGGAGCTATGGCGATCTCTCATATCCTTCTCCTATTCCACCACCAACTCAATCCTATTCACTGTTTCTTGAATGCCACAAAATGAAATTTGAAAAAGGTAGGCCGCTTGTTCTTTTTTTTTTATGAGATAGAAACTATCACCATTAATCCATAGTTTTGATTTCTTTTTTGTTCTTAAATATTTGGCTATAACTTTTTAACACACTTTCGAAAATAGGAAACGCAAGTTGAGTTGGTTTAGCGGCGTAAGGAATCGAAGGATACAATTAAGAAACGGGCGACCTTTGGCTAGAATGTACTACCCCACAACCAAACAGGACATCTGAAATTGGTGAAGATACAAGTTTAGTTGAAAATTGTAAGAAAGGTTACAATTAAGATAGGTGCCAATTGATTGATGTTCAAGCAACCAAAAAAAATGTTAAGCCAACTTTAGTGATGTAGATCCAAAGTGTCAAATTTGGTGTTAGATTTTGCATTTTGGCTCCACCAGAATGGCTTTTGCTCCAATTGTGAGAGCTAAAATGCCAAATCCCATATGTAATTTTTGTCCAACTTTAATATTTTTATTTACATAATAACAATTGATGAACAGTAAGCAGCAATATTTTGATGTAAATATTTCTCATTTGGGTGCTGTTTTTTTCGTCGTTAAATGTGATGTCATCGGGTGTTAAAGAAGGCCAAGATGATGGATTGCTAGAGCAGGGAGACGAAGGGAAGGCTTCAGATTATGCCAACGTACTTTATAGTCATTTTATTACAATTTTAATTTTATTTCAGAAAATATAGTTTTATTACATTTATATCATTTTAAAAATAAAATATAAAATTATATTATTTAATATAAAAAAGTCTAACAAGATCCATTTTGACTACATTTTATTGTTTATAATTATTATTCATAATTTATATTACAAATACTTTATAGTCATTTTACACAACCGGTCATATTAAAAAGCACAGTTTTTGCACCCAAACACTCAACTTTTTTTTTTTTGAAAAGTAATTCTCTAAAAGCTCAAGCCATAAGTTGCTTCTGCAAAAGCTACAGCAGGGCCAAACTGAGTCATAAGATTCATCATAACTTTCTCATAACAACTCAAGTTATTGGAACCAACTGGTTTATGACATGATATTGGAGTTGGTTTGTACTTGAGATCATATGTTCAAGTTCCTACAATCCCCAATACTAATAGTTAGTTTTCAAACTAAAAGAAAAGCCCATAAAAATTGATGTTATGTGGGCTAGTCTTGTCCCTTGGGCCTATAACTTGCGGCCCATAAATATTTCCAAAATACCACCGTTTCGATGCAGGATCAGTAACTTGCACCACCTGGGCCTGCCAAACAGCCGGGAAAGCCCAAATAAACAAACCCCATCGTCCCTGCGAGAGAGGATAAGGCAATAAAATTCCATCAGCTGATCTTGTTCGGGTAGCGAGAAACCGCAGGAAAATACAATCGAAGCTCGTCTCCAAAAAACCATCCACAAACAATCTCCACTTCTGGAGCGACCAGAGAACCCAAGTTAGTTTGAAAGATGGTGCAAACGCTGGCAATGCCCGTGGCGCCCTCGCTCTCTCTTATCTGCAACGGACTCCAAGCTACTTCCCTCTCCAACTTCGTCTCCCTCCCCGTCTCAAACTCTCCCAAGGTAAAATTGGAGTTCTTAGATTGAAATGTGCCCATGTAATTCCTTCTCGTTCTGCGGTTGCAAATTGCCTGCTTGAGTTGATAGCCAATTTCTAGGGTTTTGAGGAAACTGGGATTTTCAGCTAGCGTGTTTTGAATTTCGGATATTAGGCTGGTGGGTTGAGCATCCGATGCGTTCGTGTTGGTGGTGTGGAAATCCCCAATGGGAAGAGGGTTGAGTACTCGCTTCAGTACATCCATGGCGTCGGCCGCTCGATGTCGCGCCAAATCCTGGCCGACCTGAACATCGAGAACAAGATAACCAAGGACTTGTCCGAGGAGGAGCTCACCAACCTCCGTGATGAAGTCTCCAAGTACACCATTGAGGGAGATTTGGTAAACCCCAGCTTATTAGCACTCATATAACGGTCATTTTTTTGTTTTTCTGCAAATGGAGTTCGTGATTTTGTGGGTTCTGGGTTTTGGTTGCAGAGGCGTTTCAATGCGCTCAACATAAGGAGGTTGAAGGAGATTCAGTGCTACAGAGGTGTGAGACATATCCAGGGTTTGCCCTGCAGGGGGCAACGCACTAAGAACAACTGCCGGACCTTGAAGGGTAAGCGCGTCGCCATTCCCGGCAAGAAGAAAGCTCGTTGATTGTTGCTCTTTTCTGGTTTCTCTGGTTTGTGAGCTGTTTCTGTGCTGTAATGTTCTGTGATTACCATTTTCAAGTGATTTTTGTCTGTAAACTGCCCAGAATCTTGAGATAAGTTTCTCTTCAGGCTTCATCATATTCCAATTGTAACTTCCCTCTACCAATGGAATATGGAATGCCGTTGAAAACGTTTTGTTTCCCCAATTGGATTACAAATGGAAGGAATGTTGTTGGGAAAATGATGCCCTATAACCCCAATATGTAACAACACCCTAGCGCTTACGAGGCAGATCTCGATGGAAGGACGAATCACGACGATAGGTATACATCAATTTGCATATGGTATTTTTGGTTTTCTCAAAATGATGATAGTGAAATTTGAGTCTAAAAACACCTCTGATCTAAAGCAATGTTTTTACTATGGGGTACCAAAAGCTCAAAATTTGTGTCCACATTTTACATTGACAGGAATTATCATCAATATCACACCATTTGTAACATATTAAGGTCATCATCAACAGATCAACTAGAAATCGACAATAATATACCAGCATCCCCAAAAGACCTACAACAGGTACTTGACATCACTAAAATCAGTCGTTGAAGAAGAGTGGGGAAGTATTTTTGAATCAAAACTAGCTACATACAAAATAGTCAATGGTTGCAATTGGATGCCAGCAAAACCGAAACAATTGGAGCAAAACAAGAACCCTCACCGAAGCTAGCTTACACAACAAAGTTGCTACAAGCCTACAACATTAACCTGACGAGCAATAACAGAGCAAATGAAGCTGCAAAGAAACTACTTCCTAAAGGAGGGATCACCAATGAGCAGGCATCTGATCCTGATGCACTTCCAACTGGACCGTTCGCCCCGGGAAACCCTGCTGGCATTGAGCCGGTTGCCGGAACTGTACTCGGCCCAATATTGCCGCTGCCATATCCATGAGGGGACGGTGCTGGTGCTGGCGAGAATGTTGCATCCTTGGTTACTGTTGTAGGAGGGGCTACAAGTGCAGGAAACAGCTGTTGTCCTGCATCAGATTAAAAAAAAGGAAGCTATAAAAAATGCTAAAATGGGAATATATTCAGTGTAATCGAAACACTAATAAACAAGCAACCAATTTAGACGGCTGACAAAACCAGAAGCATTACAAGAGTGACAATAGAAAGTCCTACAACTTGTAGGTCTATATAACCATGAAAGAACGGCCAGTGATTATCAATCAAACTTCTTACCTGGGCATCGTGGTTGAAGGGATGTGGACAACCTGCATGTCAATGACGAAACATACCATCTTCAGTTATTCAGCTAACATAAGGACACTTGAAATCAATTGTTCAATGAAACAAAGGCAAACTACTATTTGAAATCAATTGATAGAGAGCATACGAGGTGATTATAGTGCCATTAACGTATCCACCATAACTACAAGATGTCACATTACACCCAGCACTGCTCTGCTGCTGCGTTACATTTCCAAGCATAAGATTGCTGCCACGGCATTGCATGCTCGAACAAGACACCGCCAATGAAGCAGGCATACAGTACAAGCTACACAGAAAATTCAACTGAATCAGAATGTGCACCAAAATTCAACTGAATCCACGGATTATAAACCAAAAGGCAAGAAATATTACTTGAGATTCGCAGGCCCACAGCTGCACTGTACACAATGACTGGCAACGATGGCATAGCTACCATTTGGCACCATCAAACCAGAATCAGAGGCGTATCGTGGAAACCTAGAAGCACAAGCTGCAACCCAAAGCATCAATCACTTACCATCTGTATAAAACCTTTCATTGACATCAGAATTTCATTTCTAATCAGAAAAGGAATGTCTGGCCAATCACTTCCAAAAGCAATGTTCGGAAGAAATACTAAAATTTTGGAACGAGTTCTACTGTTTGTGTTTGGAATGAGATGTTAATTTATTCTTAGAAATACTTCTACAGCTCTGCTCTCATGGCCAAAAGTAGAACAGACGAGAAAATGTAAGAATTTTCTTCGTAAAATTGGACAAACTAGCAACTATAGTCCACTAATTTCACTTCCCACCTTAGCAAATCCCACCAATTTTGATGGATTTCAGCTTTAGGATTCTATTTCTCAACCACACAAAAATTTCGAAAATGAAAATCTCCAGTTTTTGAGGATTCCATACTACAGAAGCACATTGCCCAAACATTCAAAGACTAGAGTTAACATATCCACCGAAACAAGAACTTACTAAAAACACCAACACCAAGGTCACTCCACAGTAAGAACTACTATAAGCTGAAGAGCTACCAACACGAACAACAACACAATACTCACCAGGCAACGGCACGGCGAGAATGTCACCAGCCTTGATGGCAGGGCTTCCCATAGCATTCACATTCATCAAATCAGAGATAGTCGTGGTGTACCTAGCAGCAATCCCGGTGAGAGTATCCACATCCTTCACCACATACGAGAGGTAGATCGCCGGCAGGGAGTTATCCGTCCCATTGAAACAAGTACACGGCAAAGGAACCACGAGTGTCTCCCCGACGTCAAGCACAGCAGAAGGGTCCTGTATCGAATTGGCCTCCTTAATCTGGTCCGCCGAGACCAGCCCGGCGTAAATCGAGTCGGCGATGCCGGCGAGAGTGTCGGAAGGGCGCGTCTTGTAGTGGGTGGACACCGATTTGCGGATGCCGTCGACGCAGGAGCAGGAGATTGGGATCTTGACGAAGAGCTGGGAAGGCAGGATGCGATTCTCGACGTCCGGGTAAGAGATGTCGATGGAGTTTGCGGTGAGGAGCGCGATTGGGTCGATTTGGAAGAGGGAAGCGACCTCCGAGACTTTGAGGTCGGTGTAGAGCGTGTAGCCGAGGAGGGCGCTGCAGGAGTCGGAGTTGGAGCAGGGCTCGATTGTGGATTTCGCCATTACTGAGAAATGGGTGGTGGTGGTGAAGAGGAAGAAGAAGAAGAGAAGGAAGAGGGAAGTGGGTCTGGGTTGCTGCATTTTGCTTTGAGGAAAGGTGATTAGGGTTGTTGGGGCGGGGGGAAGGGACAGTTACAGGAAGAAGGCAGATGAAAGGGTAGAAGCAAGCAACTCGGTGGGCAAAATGTGGGTTTGCGATTGGAGGTTTCGGTGAATAGTTTGAGGGATTTCTTAGAGTGGTCGGTTTCTAGTTTCTACTCCGTCTTCTTCTTCTGCTACTTTCTTCGAAGTGCTTCAATGGCGTCCAGCGAGGAGTGAGGAGCAGAGAGAGAGAGAGAGAGAGAGAGGGAGGGAGTGCTCTCTGTTCAAAAGAGGTGGGAGAAGAAGACAAATGTTGTCGCAGAGTCAAGTCAGAATCTCGGTCCTAGAGAGGAAGGTAATAATACCAATCTGTCCTCGAGTTCCATGATTTAAACGGCGTCGTTACTACAGTACTTGATGCTTGCTGTACTATGGCATAGAAGGGTGGTTTTGGGATTACAAGTTTTGCTTTTCATCGCATGGGGCGAACCGCGAGGCCCACATGCAAATTTGCAAAGGTAAAAGCAGAGACGAGAGAGCAATTTCCGGTTTCTTTTTGCAGGCGGTAGAGAGAGAGAGAGAGAGAGAGGAAAGAGGTTTCAGCTTTGCTTTAAAAATAAATTTTTTGAGGAGGTGGATGAAAGTTTGGGCCCTGGATATGATTCACAGGCCCGGTGCTAATATGAGGCCGATGAACTCAAAGTCATTCGGAAATTTCATGGGCCTAGGTGCAAAACCTGCCCAGCTTCGGCCTTTTTCCTGACTGCATATTGATAATACTGAATATCTACACGAGTTCGTTTGGAATCAGGTAACGAAGTGGTTATGATTCACGTATCTTTCAACAAATTTAATTTTAGTGATTAATTGGTATTTGACATGGTCTCATACCTTTTAAAAATCGAAGAGGTTTTGTGTTCAAAACTTCAAATCCCGATCATATTTGTTAAACATACGATATTCTGACGGGTAAATGACACATTTGGTCACTGAGATTACTAAATCGTGTCATATTTAGTCACTAGAAAAATTTAATATCAATTTTGGTCACTCGAATTACTGAAACAGGTCACATTTGGTCACTGAGATTACTAAATCGTGTCATATTATATGTTTGATGTTCTTTATCACTTTAAATTGATCAAGTAAGTGGGTATTGTGGTTCTTGACGTAAGAAGGAGAAATCCAATTAGGTTAAGGTATGCACACATCACATAATTATAATTTCTTAACAATAGGGTTTTAATTTCACTTGCATGGGGTAAAATGCATTAGAGGAATCTAGATTTAATGCTTTAGGTGGCTTATTGGTTGCATGACCATTGAACCAATTATCCAATCTAGAAGAGTGGTTAAGTGCATGAACATTGGATCAATTGCTAGTTTAGGATTCCTTTAGCATTATATAAGAATAATAGTGAATCCATCAGATTCCTTGCAATTTGACTCAGTTTTAGGGTAAGGGGAATTCCCATCACAAGTGTGTTTCTCAATCTTTGAAATAACCTCTTTACTTAGATTTGTATACTTGTTTTTGCTTGGAAGTAGTACTAATTGAGAACCTTCAACCGTTTGGTTAGATAGTAACATAGCTCATGATAGTAGTAAACCTAGAGACCATGTGAAATACGATCTTAAAAGTCGTTGTGTATACTTGTCCGAGCTAATTATAGTTAGCCTTATGCGCAATTACATACCACATCCGTGGGAAGTTGAGAACTAAAAATACCTATGTTGAAACCCTTATCTGAATTCTGATGCCTACAGGAAACCTAGGGATTTGCTAGGGCAGAGTTATTTGAGATGGAAATGGAAGACTTGTGTTAGGCTTGACTAAAAGAGAGAAAATGAGCAAAGTGTGAAAGAATACGAAGCAAGAGACATATTGAAGGGAATAAGAGAAGATTAAAAGAGAGGGTTCCATCATCTTTTCTTCGAACCATATTGCCTAAGGAAGAAGTAAATGAATGATAGGACCAAGTCAGCAACATGGTTGTTCTTTTTCAAAAAGATTAGGGTGAAAGGGGTGGAGATTTCAGGTCAAGATTTGAGGGTTAGAGATTGAGGTTTTGTCCAAATGTTGGGATAGTATGATCGATTACGGGTGTGCAATGGTCAGGTTCGTACCGAACCACACCGGACCAAACCGAAGTTTGAAGTGGACCGCACCGGACCAAGTATAATTCGGTCCGGTCCTTGGTCCACATGAATTTTACAATTACTGAAGAAATGATTGACCGATCTGATATTTGGACCGGACCAAATGAACCGAATGCAATGATGGTCCGGTCCTTGATCCTACAATGTCTTTCACTAATGGACCACAGTTCTTATGAATTTGGTCCGGTTCAGACCGAATCGTTGCACACCCTTACTCTCCTCCACCTTTTGGAGGGGTTCCTTCACCATATATCGTTTCTTCCGTCTGCCCACTTCTTTTCTACCTCTCCATAACACCAATTTAATTGTCAACGTAATTAATCATCCTAATTCTTCAGATTTTATAACTCCTCCCTCGTTGCCTAAATGAACACAAGAGAGCGGGCCAAAACAGAATATTCCTTCCAACCCCCGACTCTTTGAAGGTAACACACCACCACCTACACTTGGAGCGTTTCCAATTTTGCATAATTAATTATAATAAGTTTCTTTTAAGACAAAAATGAAAGAGAAACGAACGAGGAAACATACAAACTCAAGAAGGGCAGACTGTTGCTGTGTGGGGAAGGTAAGAGGCGAAGCCACTTTCGCGTTTCCTACAAAAAGGAACGTTTTTTTCTGAGTAGCGAGAGATTGACGCCCAAACAATGAAACAAATACACCAGCACGCGAGGGAGAAGCATTAGATAGACAAAGAAAGAAAGAAACAAGGGAAAGGGGCAATGAAAACAATTCACATGGAAGGAGAGCTGCTACCTTCTCCTCCTCCGCCATTTCACCCTTCCTCCTAACAACACACACAAATTATCAATCTTTATTGCTGGGTTTGCCGTTTCTTGCTTCATCTCATCTGGGGTTTCTTCCTCTCTCTCTCTCTCTCTCTCTCTCTCTGCATCTCTTTCGATCCCACTTTTTAAACCCGCCCCTGCTTCGCGATCTGGGAGGAGGGTATTGAGGAAAAAGGGGAAAAGGAATACGGAAATCGGGAATTCTTTCTCCTGAGCTGAATTCCGACGTGGGTTCGGATCTGAGAGATGGAGGACAAGAGTGCGTTAAGTCAGGGGAGCGTCTTTAGATCTCTGCTCGCCATTGTTCAGTGGTGGGGTTTCAATGTTACCGTGATTATCATGAACAAATGGATCTTTCAGGTCGATCTCTCTAATTCTTCGCCCTCCTCCTGAGTCCTGACGCTTCTTCTTCTTCTTGGGCGATGGCTTAATTTTGTTTCTAATTCTTGTTGTCAATTTCCAGATATGTGGGTTGATCGTTGAGTTACTCTTCAATATTTCAAATATTTCCTACTTCTAGTTCTCGTAATGGGGAAGTTTTATTGTTTGATTTTGTAGTAATGCTGGAGCAGTTTCGCCTAATTTCCTGTTCTATGATCTTGATTGTCATTTGCATGTGCTCTTAAAAGCTATATGAATTGTTAATTTTGTGAGTGAATCGCATTTCCTGAATTTGTGACAAATGTTGCTCTCTACCTACTCATGTATGATGGCACCAAAAGGACTAGTAGGTAGGATATTATAAACAGACAAAAATTCCAGCAGTGCTGGTTGTAACTGTTTCAGTTTATGGTATATCAAATTACATACTCATGAGTTTGGTATGTCGGAAAGGACCTGCGTTTGGTATAATGCATACTGGTCAGTAATCAGATCTGCACTTGAGAAATATAGGTGTACTGGTGTTTTGGTACATATTTCCTGGTTACAGATGCCAGATGTTTGAAATTTTCTTTATGCTCAAAGAACTAGGTGTCTATGTTTCTTAGAGTACCTGATCTGCTTTACTTTATGATTCTTAATGTTCGGTTATGGCTTACTTAATAGTTCAGCAGCTCATAGTGTGAAACACACTTGGTTCTTTGAGGAATTATCGTTTTATGATATCCTTTCAGGAACATTACCTTTTAGATTTCCTCTTATCTTGGAATCGGGGTTTTGGCTGAGATTCTTCGTTATTAACTGACCAAGTTGAATCTGGGAATGGACTTTGTTTGACAGAAATTGGATTTCAAGTTCCCGCTGTCTGTATCTTGTGTCCACTTCATATGCTCATCGATTGGAGCATATATTGCAATCAAGGTGCTGAAAGTCAAACCTCTTATAGTGGTTGAGCCTGAAGATCGTTGGAAAAGAATATTTCCCATGTCATTTGTGTTCTGCATAAACATTGTGTTGGGAAATGTGAGCTTGCGGTACATTCCAGTTTCATTTATGCAGACAATTAAGTCGTTCACTCCTGCAACTACAGGTTTGGAACTAAAGCACTGTGTTTATCAAACTTTGGCATCTTTCTTTCAGCCTCTATATTGTTGCTCTTTGTATTGTTTCACGTCAGTGTTCTTACATTGTTTGGCTGCACCAGTTGTATTGCAGTGGTTGGTTTGGAGGAAGTACTTTGACTGGCGCATTTGGGCTTCATTGGTGCCTATTGTTGGAGGAATACTCCTGACATCTGTGACTGAGCTTAGCTTCAATGCTTTTGGATTTTCTGCTGCTCTGCTTGGCTGCTTAGCAACTTCCACAAAGACTATCCTTGCAGAGTCCTTACTGCATGGGTACAAATTTGACAGGTACTTTCCCACATGCTTCTGACACTATCTGATTTTTTGAACCGCCTGAAACATTGGAGTGAATTGTTTGGATTTGAAACGGCAGGGACTGTTCTTGAAGCACCTACAGTTGTTACTATCTGTATTATGTCCAGGCCTGCTCTAAATTTTTTGTTTTTTTGAAACCTTACAGGGGCTGTTTGCATGTGTAAATGTTGAAATGGTGGAATTTGAACGAGTGGATTGTGATCCATGATAAAGTTTTAAAATGTTGTTGTTTGGATTAGTGATTTGATAGAAGTTTTTTTTACATTCCATAAGTTAGTTTAAATTTACCCAAATGGATGGAATTAAGAACCCCTTACTTCCATGAAGAGATTTGGGACCTTTTGAGGTTTGCCAGTTCACTCCATTTCCCATCTTTTTTTGGTGATATGAACAGAGGAATTACCAACTTCCTGTAGCATAGAAAATTTGAAGCCAATTCCCTAGTCTGATTCTCACATCCAAATGACCCATAGTTGATTGGGTAGCAGAAAGCCTGTGTATACTTCAATTGATTCTACTCAACCCCAATGTAGACCTGGTGTAACTCAATTAATGGGTGCACTTGGCTTGGTTACTGTTTCGTTGGGCTGTTGAGTTGTGCTTTTTTCTTGTGTCCTTTTGTTTTATCACTTTCTTCTTTGTGTTATTAGTTGACTAAATGTTGGTAAGTCTGTGAACCACCATCTTGATTTTGTACCTTTTAAGTTCTAACAACATATTTATTGGCTTTTTAAAAGATAGTTATGAAATGAAGTACATCAGATGTTATCATCTTATGTGGAGAAGTCAATAACTCCAAAAGAAAAAAACTTATTTCATACCATCATTTGGTTGATAACTTCAACAAAAAGTATCAGGGGGGCCAGTTTCTTTATCAATGATCTTGAACTGTGCTAGAGACATGAGGTTTAAGTTTTGCTCATTCGTCTTTTCCTGACATTTTTTCTTTGTTACCTTCTTACCTTAAGTATATGTCAGACCGTGGATGTATTTAGTGAAGTGCACACACACTGTATAATAACCTACTATATTCACTAATATGTCTGCCCTATAAGGTCAAGGATTACTATCTGATTTATGTTCTTATTTTTGCTCATATTGCTCTTTGGTTTTATGTTTTCTCAGCATAAACACGGTGTATTACATGGCTCCTTTTGCAACCATGATACTCGGTGTGCCAGCTTTGCTACTCGAAGGCAATGGGATTCTGGAATGGTTTCAGACGCACGAGACTATCTACTCTTCCCTGTTTATCATACTCCTGTCCGGTGTACTTGCCTTCTGTCTCAACTTTTCAATCTTCTATGTGATCCATTCAACAACAGCTGTCACCTTCAATGTTGCTGGGAACCTCAAGGTAAGAAGATGGAAGAACTCAGTATCCTCCACCAGTTGTGATCTTATGCAGTTGCTGCAATATCATAATCATTTAGGGCGTTCATGGTTTAGCTTAGCAAAAGCTGGACTTAGAAGCTGAAACAAATGCCGCTCTTCAATCCCACTTCTTAGAAACAACTAATCATGCTGGAGACACCGACGAGTTATTAAAATCTAAGTTACCTCACTAGTAAAATTTCATTTGTCCTTAACTCCTTATAAAATAGGAAGTTATACTCATAATAGTTATTTTAGAAAATCAGTCTCAAGCCCTAGAACAACATTCTTGATCTCACTACTTCCTGACGGATCGATCTCTCATTTGTTGTTGGCTGCTAATGTCTGGATTTATGTCTTATACAGGTTGCAGTTGCCGTGTTGATTTCATGGCTGATATTCAGGAACCCAATCTCAGCAATGAATGCTGTGGGATGTGCTATCACGCTCGGTGGATGTACTTTCTATGGATATGTAAGGCATTTGCTGTCACAACAGCCAGCCTCTACAGGAACTCCCAGGACGCCCAGGACTCCAAGAAGCCGGATGGAGTTGCTGCCGCTCGTAAACGATAAATTAGATGATAAGGTCTGAATTAGTGAATCGACTCTCCTGGAGAGAGGGGAGCTTTACATTACGATGATGGTGATGAATGCTCTTTTGCAGTTGACGCGCCGTAGGGAGGAGTAATTATACTTTATGTACAAGAAACTGATGAAATTCTGAGGAATTATTTAAATGTGTTGTTGTGGACTTGTTTGATTACCCATACAAGCTTAATATAAGTAAACTTTTTTTTGCTCGTGAATTGGAAACATGTATTTCTCCAGGGAACTATAATTTCTCGGGTTGATTTATTAATGGAGTGCCATATCTCAAGTACAGAGCCTCACTAATCAATCTAGTGAACTAGTCCAAGTTGCTTTTGAGAGCTTTCTAGACTTCTGCATCCAAAAGGAAAAGTTGCACAGTACTTGGTGCTTTCTGGAATCTATTCTCTTCCTCCTGCTTTATTTCTTCCACGTTTTGATGATTCAAAGATCAGCATGTGTGTGTTTGTGACTGCAGTAAGCAAGGGAAGCAAGCAAGCAAGCAGCATAGCTTTGGGTAAAAAGGTCTAAAGTAACATCATTCATCATGTCGCAGGCTTCTGAATCCAGGTCCAGAGCCCATGCGTGTAATCAAGTTCTGACAACATTAGAAGAAGATTCGAGTTTTGAGAGATGGGTTCTTACTTCCTACTGCATGTTTTGTCAATCAGTTTCCAGGATCTAGCTAGCTAGCTAGTAGTGCCAGAACGAAAACCGGGTTGGCAAAGCTCCACTATATTCTTTGTATTTATCTCCATGATCTTGAAGTGACGCATAACTACCACAATTAGTGATAAACAAGGTATTTACCCATGTGAGACAAAGACAATCGATGAAAAGATTCCATCAATTATAGTAATAAGAATATTACACACCCATGCTGTCTTTTCTAAGACATCTTGAATCTGATTAAAGGACAAAGATGGAAGGAGAGATCTAGTTAGTAGTGACTTGTAGATACAGGTGGGGTTTCAGGCAGGGGGAATAATATAAGATCTGGAAGGGGACATTGAATATGTAATAATAAGGAGAATGGGTGGTGGTGATGGTGATTAAGATTTGCAAGGTTGGATTAGATGTGGTTGATGGAAACAAAATTATTATACTAATGGTTTCTTAGGCCAAGAGCCAGAAGTTCTTTTGCCACTTGGTGCTGATGAGATACCCACTCCTGCCATAGCTCTGCTTCCTCACTCCTACAGTCATGCACTCCAAACTGTTGATGCACTTCTCCACAAACTCTTCACTCTTGCTGCTTCCACACAGACTGCCAAAAAAAAAAAACAAAAGGAAACCCAGAATCACACACCAGCATTAGATTATTGGGTTGGAATTGGATCTTCAAGAAGATCTCAAAGGATGCATCTTTTTTTTTCTTCCAAAAAAAAAAAAAAAAGTATCACCCACCAGCTGATGAGAGAAGAGGGTTTCTTCTGACCAAGAACAAGCACAGCCACATCTAGCTTCTTCACCTGGCTCATCACTGTGGCAAACTTGGGACCTTGCACCACCAATGCTTCCACTTCCACCTTGAACACAGCAACAAACAAACAAAAGAACCCCAAAAATTTCAAGCTGTTTGGAACAGGGGAACCATATTGAACAGTTTTTTTTTTTTTTTTGTCAACACTGTGAAACACAATATTACCTCAGGTTTGCAGGCTTTGCAGAGAGCACCGAGGGAATTGGCGAGGAAAGGGGATGAATGTGAAGTCTGGGCGCCATGAGAAGGAGGAGGGACAATGTGAAGCAGAGTGAGCAAATCAGCTTTGTTCACTACATGAGTCAGCGCCCATATCATTGCGTGCTTCGAATGCGAGCTCTGATCCACCACCACCATCACTCTCTTCCTCATCACCAGCCCGTTGCTTCCGCCGCCGTCGGAGTAGTGACTCTGCAGCCGGCCGGTCAGCTCGTCTTCCATTTGGGTGGTAGCTGAAGCAGGGGTAGTGTAGGAACAAGAGTAGTAGTCGCTGCTGTTGTTGTAGTTGTAGTCGTAGTTGGAGCTGTAGTCATTGTAGTTTCCCCAAGCTTCCGTCCCATTATTACCAACGCTCAGCTGCCGGAGAAAGAATTCTGAACTTGCTTGTTGCATCTTTCTGTGTGTAATTTTTTTTTCCTTCTTCTGGGTTGCTTCAGCAAAGATGGGATGTTGATTATAAAGAAGTGAAAGGATTTAATAAGTGAGGAGTGGTACGACTCTGCTCTGCTCAGCAAATGCTATTTACTCCGGAGAGAGAGAGAGAGAGAGAGAGAGAGAGAGAGAGAGAGGGAAAGCTATGGTGATGAATGATGATGAGGGAAAGAGGGAGTTAGGTTGGGAATTGGAGAGAAAGGATAGGTAAGCTGCAAAAAACAGAGCAAAAAAAATGCAATCGTGGGGGTGGGTTTGCTTTGGTGATGGAAGTGTGACGATGATGATATATGGATCAGAGAGGAGGATCATGAGAGGGTTTTTAATAATCAACAATGGGAGTAGCAAGTGGCAATGAAAGGAAGGAAGGAAGTCACGGGGATGGATGTGGCTATTCATTAACAGCAGAGAGAGAGAGAGAGAGAGAGGGATTGGAACAGGGGAAGCCGAAGCTAGTAAGGAATCCAGAGTTGGTCAGATTTTTCATAATGAATCAGAGAGAGAGAGAGAGAGAGTTGTTACTCCTCCATAGTTCGTATCTTGTGCATCAGATTTGCTTTTTGTACTCACCTTGCTCCCCCTCCATTATAAAAATACGTTGTTTGTGAGTATTCTGCAATCATAAGTTCATATCACCCATTTCTTTTTGGTCTGGTTTGGTTGTTTTTACCTCTGTCGTTTGCTATCTCAGCCTGTATTAGGGTTCTTTTCCTCACCAGGGTTCTTTTCCTCCCGGTGAACACGGTGTTAGAAATCGAACAGGAAAAATCATCACAACAAATGGTCTTTCCAACGAATTTGATTATCCTACTGGATGTCGTAGTATTTGCATCAAGATCGATGCTTTGATATCGAATTCAAACAACCACTTCAATGAATGAACGAATGAATGAATGGGTGGTACAATATATCCATCGGTTTAAATTCAAATGTTGAGGAAGTAAAGTAGAGAGAGAGAGAGGGGGGGCATTCATCTACATGTAATTAGCGCCTACATGTAATTAGCGCCTACTTACTGACTGGCTGACCTGCTCTTTGGGATGGATATCTAGTTATTAGTTGTATAAGAAAAGAGTCAAAACGATTGAGTTAATCCGGTCTTGTTTCCGCATTTGACTTGTGACTAATTAATCTGGGGCTGGGGAAAAGTAAAAACGAAAACAGGTTAATATTCATTAATTAAAGTTAATCCTCGGCAATTACACGTTGTCATTGGTTTGCATGAAATTCCCAACTGCAAGTAGGGGAGAGCGCCCAAAAATTACAGTAACAGGAAAGATGGAAAAAGCGACCGAAGTTGGCCGGCATCCTTCCAGTAAGGCGACAAAAACACACACACACACACCGGCCAACGCCATGTTTGACGAGCAGAAGCAGATAGCCAGCCAGCCAAGCGACGGACAGAGAGAGAGAGAGAGAAGAAGAAGAAGAAGAGGACAAGGGAGATCAGAGGTTTGCTTTGGGAAGTGGCGCAAGTCAAGTCCAATTGCCATTCTTAACTTTAGCGTTATTTACTCTCTCAGTTACTCCGCCACATGCAATGTCAATGGAAAACCCCCATTTAATGTTTGTGTTCAGCCTTAAAGCGTAATTTTTTTAAGCGTAGTTCCATAATTTCAAATAAAACCATTTAATGAAAACTGAAAAAAAAAGCAGGGGTCATTTGCAGGTTTTGGGTGTGGGATTTGGGCACAATCCTACATAATGTGGGATTTTATTAAAATCATTCGTTTGGAAAGCAATTATATGATAAGAGATTTTAAATATTAGAGATTTCAGAAACCCACAATTGTGGGAATATGAAATAGCTGATGGTGATCAGCTATTTTAAAATCCCACACAAATCCCACAAATTAAAAACCTGGGTTTTTAAACCAGTGATTTGAGCCAAAATCCCACAAATTAAAAATCTGGATCCAAATGACCCCGCAAAATTTTAGAAGAAATAAGGCAATTTTAACTTCTTAGGAATGAGTTTAATTCATGCAAGAATTCTGAAACTAAACGTATTTGGTGTGTAGTACAAAAATGATGACATGCTGATGAAGGTCAAAACCGACTTTATATTGATTAGAAATGAGTTGAGATGTAAAAAAAAAAAAGCTTTCTACACAAAATAGATGATGTTCATTGTTCAATTTATCGGATTATTCGAAAACAAAATGTGAAAAGGGGTAAAATGGTAAATGCGGAAAGAAACTGGTCATTCCTGTAGCTGTGGCCTGCCACTAATAATAGGGACTCTGCTTTTTTGCTTCTCATTTTCATTCATTCACAGGTCAGGGCCGGTCAGACGGGAAACTCAAATTCATTTATTATTATTGGCAGGTTCTCTAAAGAATTATTTATTATTAATTTTCTTTACGATGATATCATCACAATTTCCAAACTATAAAAATATCACTTCGAATATAAAATATTCAATGTAACAATCCTATCACGAATTATGTGAGTTTCGTTACCTTTGTGTTCTGAAGTCTTGCGGTGATCGTTAAAGATAATGGTTTGATCAAATGGTGGTCAGACGTTATTAACTTTCACCGATTTGATAAATGTGGCATCCACGTAGATATCACCTTGTTGACATATTGAATATTTTTGTTTTATAAATGGATACGACGCATCTCGACTTTCATTTACAAACAAGATGATGCTCTGAAAGGCCTTGACATTTGTGGTGTTTAGGATTGTTACCTCTTATTGAATACTTTATGATAGAAGTGAGAGTGTTGATATTTGTGGTGTTTCACTGATATTACCTCTTATTTTAAACATTTTAGGTTTTTAAGTTTCTTTTGGACTACTTATCATAAGCGGGGGGAGTTGTATTACGATGTCATTGGGGTACAGACCCCTCCGTTTCACACAAAAAAATCATAAGTGGGGGAAATTATGAATTAGCATCATATGTCAAAATTCAAAATTAATTGAATTAATTGGATATGAAGAGGAATTATGAAGAAATATATGTGAAATAGGGATATTCAAGAATATATTTGGAATAAGAAAATTTATGTCACATATGATTATTTTTTTATCTTTCTCTCTGATTATATTTTTCCTATATTTAGTTTTCAGTTTTTAATTTTTTAAAGGACCATATCTCCATTTTAATTTAGATTTCAAATTCTTTTCTAGAAAATAAAAATATATTATTATCTACAGGATGTAATTTACTTTCATATTTCTTAGAAAAATCTCATTCATAAGTCTGTACAAATTTCATAAAATTTTATATTTACAGGTTTTTCAGTAGAATACTATACACATTTTTTTCCGTTGAATATCCTATATACACAACTTTGTATGTACATTGTGTATACATATTTTCCGAGTGCAGTCTATACATAATATTTTCCTCTACAACGACCAATGTCTTGTTGTTTCGTTAAAAAAATTGCAGTTCCAACATATTTAAGAAGTGATTTTAATTCGATGAGTTGGAGAAGAGTCTCCTTGTTTTTTGCATAAAACTTCCTAAACCTCCCCACTTTGTTGGTTGTAAAAGGGAGATCACATTGCCCTCATCGTCCTTGTCCCCCTCTGACCTCCGCCATCCTCGTCGTTCTTGCCTGCCCGTAAAGTTGAGATCGTCTTCGTTTCAGCCTCTTATCATGCTTGCCATTCCCAACAAAAAGGAGGAAGTGAAATCAAATATATGTGTTTATATCCCCAAAATGACCACGACCCTCATAAACAAACTCTCGAACTTCGAATAATCTCCTCTCTCTCCCGAACCGCTTCATGTTTCTCTAATGTCCTCCCAATACAAACCCTAAAATTGAGAGAGGTAAAGAGCACCACTGATCCTTCAATTGAAATCTAGTCATTAACGTTTGATTGGGAAGATCAAATTACTTCTCTCACCTAGTTTGCACTCACCACTCTTCTCCTTTCTCTCTTCGTTTTCTTTTCGCGATCATAGGAACAACAAGCCAAAGCCAAATAACTAATCATACCACTCTACATACAAAGACCCCCACCCCCACCAACCAAATTGGAACTCACCTGCACATTATAATCCCTCCCGCCATTAGAATGTTCATCATCAACCAAATCTCCTGGCCCGACTATTATACCAAGGCTAGTTCCTCTTCACTCAACGCCTCATTAGACCATCCACAATGTGGGTGTGGGGAAAAAGTGGGAAAGTGGGAAAAGAGGAGGAGATTTTGGTCACAATGTGGTGTGTGGGAAAAGTGGGTAATTGAGTTAACATTTTTTTTGTTAAAATCAATCTATAATTGATTTTGCCACCGCCCCCACCTCTTCCCCCACCTTTTGTCGCCTACAGGTGGGTTTTCCCACCCAATTTTCACCCATTCTCCATCTTTTTCACTTTTCTCACCCACATTGTAGATTATTTTCCCACTTTTCCCCCCTAAATCCATATACACTATGGACCGCATACTTTGTCATAACTTTTCCTTCTCCTTCATCTTATAACAATAACTTCTTGAATTTGTAATTTGAAGCTCGTCTCCCTTGTCTTTGAAAATTGGGAGGGTGCAATATATGACAAATAAATTATGAAAATTGGGGGGATTGGGGATTTGGCGTCCTCCTGAATTGGGACATATTGTAATCTTTCGGTTGCTGCTGCTGCTGTATTTTACTGAAATACGGAAAAGAGTGTAAAGTATAAGAGAGTGTCAGAAGTCAGAAGAAGGAAGGGAAGGGTCGTAGTCGTACATATCACAAATTATTGCTCCCGTGTTGCCCGCCGATTCCCCCATCCCAATTCTTTCACAAACTATTGCACATTTACTCTTTTGTCCTTCTACGCGAGAGTCGGCCCAACCCAAGTAGCCGGCGTTGGACCGGGCTGTAGAAATTTACAATACATTTGGATTTGGGAGAAAGGTCCATCTCTACAATCTAGAGCTACCTGTATCATATACATGTTCCAGCCTAATACAAAGACACTGGCAAGTTTGTTTGGATGTAGAGGTGGCAATTAGGATCCAAATTCATGAATCCAATCCAATCCATCCACCAAATTATTCACTTAATTCAATCCATTTAAATTCAATTCATTTGATCCAAATCCAATTGGATTGGTGGATTCATGGATCAATCCATGGATCCAAATGGCAAATTACGATTTGGTACCTATATTTTTTATATTTTACATTTTGGTACCTAAAATTTATATTTTTATACGAAAAATATCATTGTAAAATTACATTTTGGTATCTAAAATTTTTCATTATAACATTTTAGTACCTAAACTTTTCAAAATTTATATTTTGGTCCAAGCCCTGGATGTCATTTGGATTCATGGGTCAATCCACCAATCCATTTGATCCAATTCATGAATCCACCAATCCATTGGATCCAATCCATTGGATCCATGGATCCACCAATCCAATCTACGAATCCACGAATCTGATCCAATTGCCACCTCTATTTGGATGACAAAAACACTGGCTTTTACCGATCGAGTTTCATCCCCCTTTAGAGTCGTTCGTTGGTATTTACAAGTCCTACCATAAATGCTGGTAACGATAACTTTACTTATCTTAATTACTGGATCGATAATTTGCATACACGCGTTTGATTGCGTCAATTGGTATCACGGTGCCGCCCCCAAAATGTGACTCAACAACAACGTTGTTTAAAACCGTTGGTAATTAGCAGGCATGAAGTACGGGTCCTCAAGTCCCATTCTGCGCCGGAATTGGTAGTCTTCCTCCGCTAGCTTCTTTTTCTGCTCGTAGGAGGATTGCAGCTTCTGGAACTTTTGCTTTGCATTCTCGTCGCCGGGCATCTTGTCCGGGTGCAGCTCGAATGCCTTGCGTTTGTAAGCGCGGCGGATCTCCGACGACGACACCCGCAACTAGAGGTGGCAAATGGATTGATCCATAAATTGGTGGATTCATGGATCAAATGGATTGGTGGATTATCCATGAACCCAAATGACATCCTCAACCAATGACCAATATGTAAACTATGAAAAGTTTAGGTACTAAAATGTCATAATGAAAAAATTTTAGGTACCAAACGTAATTTTCCAATGATAATTTTCGTATCAAAAATTAAATCTTGGGCACCAAAATGTAAAATATAAAAAGTATTGGTACCAAACCGTAATTTGTCATTTAGATCCATAAATCAATCCATGAATCCACCAATCCGATTGGATTTTAGATCAAATGGATTGAATTAGATGAATATTTTTAATGAATCAATGGATTGGTTGAGAATTGCCACTTCTACCCGCAACCCTTCGTCCCCTGAAGGCAGCCCCAGCACCGTGTAGTGCTCTTCATCGTCGCCTGCCATGCCTAAATTGCCTAGCCTAGCTACTACCACTTTCGGGCTCAAGTTAGGGTGCATAACCATGGGTTATGCACCCATCAATAACCAAATCTAGACCCTTCATTTAGAAAATCTAGATCTAAGGATGGAGAATTAAAGCCCATTTTTATTTTCACTAGCTTTCTTAATTGACTCATATCTTTTTCGTTTTAACTCGGATTTTAGTTTTTTTTGCACAAATGGAACGAGTTCATCGTGCTCTACAAAATGAGATCAATTTTCAATATTTTTTGAGGAAAAAAAAAATTCTGGCCTCTCGGTACCAACTGCATACCATATGGTATCTTCTTCGTTTTTAATTCGTTTTTGAAAACGTTTGCACAGTAGGGACAAATTCATCATGATCTATTGGATCTACAAATTTCTGGGTGAAAAAATTACAAGACAAAAAAATACCACACAATACCATACAATACCACCCTGGTACGGGGTGGTATTTTATGGTATCTTATGGTATACAATGTTAAAAATCGTAAATGACAATTAATATATTTCTACTATCATGTATTCAACCATCCTATAGTTTTGGTTTGTGTCATACCACCATGGTACGCTTTTCAAACCATAGGTATGCTCTTATTTCAATACCAGTCAATACCATATGGTATAGACTGGTATAAAATGACTCGATTTTTTTTATTCGAAAAATATATCAAAGTGGATATCATTCTGAAGAGCACAATTAATCTGATCTAATTGTGCAAAAAAAATTAAATTTCGACTTAAAACGAGTGAGAAATCATCCGTCAAAAATTAAGGAGGGGAAAATTAAAGGTTTTCTAGGAGAGAGAGGATGCTGATGTCATACTGATGTGGGCAGGTTACTCATAGTTACTCACCATAAAATTACTGACCTGATCCATTCCCCCACTTTCGATTGATTGAGAGGAGTACTACTAGCTACCGACGGTAATTAATAATTAATGAGTCTCTAAGGGGTGGGGGTGGGGGGGAAGAAGGTTTTGCCGAATCCAATAGGGAAAGGGAAATCATTATTAAGCTTCAAAATCATAATTAAGGAGTAATGGGTAACGAACAAATTGCAGGGAGCGGATCAGATCAGTAACATTATGGCCGCCGGTGAGTAGCCTTAGACTTGACTTTTAGCCATGTGCTCTCCACATTCCAGAGCTTCATTGTAATTTGTTGTCTGTTAGTTGTTTATATCCGAGTATGTTTAGTACGAGTAGTATTGTGTTATATTACGAGTACTATTATGTAATTGGTCACCATTATATTCCTTATCGAAATTGTATAGATTAGGTAATTTTCGTATTAGTGTTAGGGTTATTCTAGAAGTCAGTCTCTATATAAATCTTATATTGTTTCAATAATAATACAACCGTTTCCACTGATTTACCAACATGTTATCAGAGCAGGTACCTTAATCCACAAAAACCTAATCGACAAACCTAAAGATCCTTCCTCCCCGCCGTCGGTCATGAGTCCTCAATCGCCCGGTCAATGATTTTTCTTCTCCTCCGTCGATCTCATATTGCCCTCCGTCATTGCTTTGTATTATTATTTGGAGTCATCAATCATCTGTAGCTTTTTGGGAAGGAATAGAGAATCCCCTAGCTTCCCTTCTGTTATTTTCAAGGGTATTTGGTCGATTTGTTGCTGCCTCCACCGCCGGTTGAGTTTTTCTGTCCACACACGAATTTCTACGAGTCTCCGCTTTATCTCGTCAAGTCTGCACACCATGCCACCTGAGCTACTGCCTATGGAGTACCGACCTAGGGCTGCAAATAAGCTGAGCAACTCGAGGTTCGAATCGGGAAAAACTCGTTCGAAACTCCACTCGTTTACTAACGAGCCAATCTTGAGCTTAGCCTTGTTCAGGTCGCGAGCTAGCTCGACTCGGTGGCTTGTTGAGCTCAACTCGTGAGTTGGCTCATTCAGAGCTCATGAGATGTCTCAACATTGTGGTTTGAGGGCCAACTTGATCACCGACTTATGGACGAATCGATCTAATTTGGACTTTCATAATTCTTAGGATTGTTAAATTATATATCTCACATCATGTAAAGTTTAACATGTTGAACATGTAAGAAAATCTACCTTCTTTTTAATTCTATAAAGAAATTATGTACAAAATTGTTTCGATAACATGAAATAACATGATTTGAACTAGTTAAAATCTATCAACTAAACAATATGACACCTACAAATTATAATATAAGATTAATTAATGTTGAACATTTGATTATTTTTTTAATCGTTACATCAATCACATGTACCATACACGTCATACAAAATGAATGTATCAAATACGATTTAAGAATTTAGTAAACAAGCCTAACTCGAACTCGAACTCGACTCGGCTCATTAATAAATGGCTCGAGCTCATCTCATTTGTTAACGAGTCAAACTCAAACTAGGGTAAAACTCGGCTCATTTGCCGCGCTGTACCGACCCGAGATTGTCACTAATCACCATGGTGTTTATGAAGTCCAAATTTCAGGTTTTCTTTCACACTTGATACTGGTAAGGATGATGATGATTAGCTATCTACGTGAATGATGAAGTGGGATATATGGTATCAACATGGATTGCTTTAATTATTGGACTTTTCATTGGTCAGTATCGCAGCACCAGTTGAATCATTGATTATTAGCTTTGACCACAACTAACTTGACTTTATTTTTCCATTGTATCTGAAATCGCCGAAGGCCGGTGAGGAGAACCCCGACTTGGGTCCTCAAGTATCTAATATGTAACGTTCAACCCCGCCATCCTCCTTGGTGAAACAAAAAAAATTTGTTTCCTTTTTTGCCACCAATAATGTCTGATTCCAGAAGCTTTATAGGGTTGAGTTTCTTTACATTCCAAAATTAGATTAGGAACCCTCAGACAAGCTTATATCTGTATTCTCAAAAGATTTTTCCCCAGTCCAAGCCAAGTACTCGTATATAATCCCAGTTGGAACTGGTAGTTGATTCTGGAAAAAGAAAGCAAACCTCTGAATCTGATACCATTGTTCCATTACTGTAGGCTGTCATCATTTTTTGCCAAAAGTCAAGTTTTTCCTGTCGATATTGTCCATCCTAACCAGTATTGCTCCACGACTCTCTTCATCTTCACTCCAGCTAATTGAATCTCTATCCAATAATTTCTTAATCTACACAATTCAACCAAACATTTTATTGTTCTTGCTATCGTGCATGCATGTAATAATGAACACGAAAACCTTACGACTTACGTATTTTCGACGACTCCCTTTGGTTTTGTCCTCCTCGTCATCAGTCTCCATGATGATCTTGAGGTAATTGATTGCTGATGCACAAAGGAAAATCGAAAACGTGATTGTTAGGAAAGAATATTCCTTACCATGCGATACATTTCAGAAGCAAGAAAAGTATGTTGCTCAACTACTACTCACATGGGATGCCTGCAAGAGAAGATAGATGACACTTCAAAACGCGTATAGCTTCCTTGGTATCATGTTCATGGAGATCAAGCACCATCTGGTCTTGTGTCTGTGCGTATCTGTCATAAGTACAGGAAGATAAACATAAAATAATAAGGGTAAATCTCCAAAGGGAGATACTGAATGCCGAAAGACAACAAATATTTAAGCTCATCAATCAACTGACTTGGTGTCAAAGAGCTTGTTGCTAGATTCATCATCGGCTAGTTGAGCCTTGCTACGGAAAAAATGTCCCTGCAAATTTTTACAAGTTATGAGATCAGATTTGAAAAGAAAAAGAACTCTAGTAACTGCTCCGAATTCACCGGAAAACAAACAAAATGCCAACTTTACTTTATTTGAAGAGGCTGAAATTACCTGTTCCATCAGTCTGTCTGCTCTCTCATGGTCTTCATTGATGAATGCTTGAATAGCCTGATAAGCAATCCAAGTGGTGTCATCTTGACCAATATTAAGTGAAAGAAACAACACTCTCAATTGCTTAGGAGTGAATAAGCACAAAAAGGGCCGAACCATAAAAGATATTTTCCTATTTACTCAAAAATTATATTTATTGACTTAATAGTTCACGGTGCAAAGGATTGACAAACATACAGATCTATAATATTCCTTCATTGTAATTCGGTACTCCTTCACAGCCCTACGAAGGCGCTGGTACTCGTCCTCTTCTTCTTCAGCTTCATCTCTAGGTGCAACTAAAAAAATAGAGTATTTACCAATGCAGCCGAAGAAAACAAACATTCAACTTTGATATGACAATGTTCTTGAAAACCTATCTTCTAACATGTTCTTCAAAACATGACATTGGCATTGTAATTGAAGTTTCTGATGCATTAGTCAAGAGAACATACCATTGTCAACACCTGTCAACGCTTTAATTGGTTTGCTGATCATAACCTCAGGCAGAGGTGCCACTACAGGTTCACGTGAAGCAACAGCTACTCTCCTAGGCCTCACTATTCTTCTAGGAGGCTCCTCGTCTCTATCAGGGGCAGTAAATAGTGCAGAAAAAACTTCCTTCTGGAGATCATTTTTATCTTGCATGGCTGATCCCCTGGCATTTGGATTTGAAACTCTCTTTTAACATGGAGGAAGCAAGACACAAATACACTTGAAGATCGATTTCCCCTCAGATGAACAAGTAAAGACATTTTGGTCATTCAAATGAAAATCCAGTTATTACACTAAGCATCTAAGTGAGAGATACAAAACTATGCAATAGGCCTTTGAAGATTCACAAGCATAAATTGAAGAAAAATATTCAATTGCTTCACTCTCTAGCAGATTAAAATTCTGTACCTTTGTGAACGGTTCCGTGTTTTGTTTACACTTTCACTAGTACCTTCAGCAGTTGAAATTGCATTTGGAAGCTGCGGGACAAAAAGTAAATGCCTAGCAAATTAATCATTTTCCCCCTAATTTGAGGCATGATGGAAAAAGAACATAGCAATAACATGAAGATTTTACTATGGCTGAAGAAACCACCAGTTAGCATGATGTTGCACTTATATAACAAAGGAAACCAAGATAAGCAGTTGAAAATATCTATAATACGAAAAAATTGAACACAGTTCTTTACCAAAAATTGAACGGAGTAGAAAATGTTATGCCTCTATGGAAAGCAGTAAAACACAAAATGTAGAAGATATTGTTCACGGTGCAGGGTTCATAAACAATTCCAGGAGCATGCATTGTCTTGGAAGGGACTAGACTCCATATTCTAGAGGTTATATACAGGCACACCTCACTAAAGCTCCTCCTAACAATGATCATCAATCCTTTTGCAAATTAAGACCAAGGACAGGACCATGTTTCTGCCGGGAAGCAACATTCACAATGATAGACATTCTATTTCCAAATGAAGACATCACATGCATCAGTAGTATCGGTACAGATAGGTGAAGTGATTCATGGTCTTTTTCATCACATAGCAAATTTAGCAATCAAACTAACCTTTTCCACTGATTTACCAAAACATTTGTCTTCTTTGTCTGAAGTCATCTCCGATAAATCAAACAATCTCTCCATGCACTGAATACAAAGCAAGTGAACCATGTTCAAATCATAAACAGCTTGAGTAGAATAAGAATGGGCCAAAACATTATTGAAGTATCTTTACATTATTAGCTAAGTGGACTCCTCTTTCTAAAACGTGGAATAGATGGTCAAGTATTACCCATTTTTACTGAGGTAGTGCTCCTTAAAAACGTGTCAACTAGGATACACATAAAATTCCAAGAAGTTAAAATAAGAGTATCATTTAGTTGAAAAGGAATAGCCATTACCTTTTGCATGTTATATCCACACTTATCTGCATATTCAAGATAAAACTTTCATCAGTGATCCTATTCATAATGAGCTTACTTGTTTCAGAATCAAAGCCAATAATATCATATAAGGAATCCTGTTATGGCTATAACCCAATATGAAAGTACCTGGAATAAATTTTGAGAACTAGAACAAACTACATCTGTACTTGTAAAATATGTTTTAAGATGTAAACCAATTGAAAAGAAGGTAGCTGAAAAAGGATCATGTAAGCTGGATGCCAATGTGCCCCCAGAAGAAATGAAAGTTGAGTCCCACATATTCGCAAATTTTACGGACAAAGAACTGTTTTTGAATTGCCAAAAATGGTCTCTTATCGAACATATGGAAAAGAATAAGTAACTGTATATAGATATATAAAAAATTCAGAAAGAATGGTTACCAAGAACGTCGTGAATCATTTCTCTTTCCAGGCGAAAGCCATTTCCTAGCATCTTGAAAAGGAAATCCTCCATGCCTTCCAGCATCTTGTCATTCACGGATAAACCCTGCTTGTCTTTGGTTTCTCCATCATCAGATACAAGCCAATCATTTGCATCCAATTTCAATGGTTTTGTGGACATAACAGAGGCAGTGCTCCCCGGTTTGGACTTGATATAGTCTTTACCAAGAAAACACGAAACAGTGCCTCCGGAAACTGGACGTGCCTTTTGCTTTGGAGCTCTGATCTTTTCATCTGGAAGACATGACACAGCCGAGGCACTGGGATTGGATGAAACGGAAGCATTTTCCTCGACCTCCTCTTTCAAAGATGCAGAAGACGAAGATGGCGACGAACTTCCATGCCAATCATACAGAATCTGACCAGCTAAGTCAGGATTGCGGCCTGCCTTGCAATAAACAGAAGCAATTTGTTCAAGAGAAAAGAGAGAACCAAATGCCTCAAGCAACGCTGCTAGTGCCTTCTCCTCCTCATCATACGTTGGGACATTACAAGGAGCTACCTCCATCCCTGTAGTCTGCACAATAGGAAATGAACAAATGTGAAAAGAAATTGATCAGCCAAAGAAGGTAAAGATGCAGAGAAGACATTCTGCATGCGTAAAATGAAGTCAGCAGAATGCATGATCGTTCATCGCACTCTTACACCTTCCTTTCTCCAGTTGCAGGGATGGAACTTGGAAGCATAAAATCGTGTGACTATCGAACACTAAAAGGGAGATGGACTTTCCAATAAAATCGATACCAGAAAATAAACACAGAAACGAGATGCAATAAAAAAAGCCCAGGCAACGGCACATACAACCATGCACGGAAGTTGTTCGACGAAAGTACTTGGCCACTTAGAGCGGAGGTTGGTTAATCAATGTTCTTTGGGGGCACAATTTCCGCGATGAATTGCCAGCCAAACAACCCTTCCTCATCTGCCGAATTTCAAACCCCGACAATGTGAAACCAATTCCGCAAACAGGCCATAATCGGGATCGGCATTCCACGCACATTAAAACATGAACGCTCAACAACACTCCCAAGAAAGTCAGAAGGCAATGCAGTTCGAAACAAATTCGAAGAAAGACGAAGAAGAATCAAAACCATCGCAGTTTGCAATTCAAGCTACGACACTTGATCGAATTGGGGATACAGGCTTCAGTTTCGGCAAGGAATCATCGAAGAACAGGAAGTGAGAGAGAGAAGAGAAGGAGGAAGAAGAAGAAGAAGAAGAACTCACCGGAGGAGTTGAGGGAGAGAAGATCAGGAGAAATGGGAGGCCGTTGGCGGTGGGTTGGGACGCGCCGTTGCTGTGAGCATAGCGCGGTTGCGAGAGAGAGAGAGAGAGAAAGAGAGACTGTCACGCAAATAAAAGCGAGAGAGAGAAGCCGGATTATTTCACTTTCTTGCTTGCTAGTTGCTACTCTCCTTCATTTCTTTTTTATTATTAATTTTTATAATTTTACCTGTAAATTGAATGGGAGAGAAAGAATGATCGGATCGTCTTCTTCGCTTGTCTTGTCTCGTTCGTTCGTTGGCAGGGAAGGAGAGGATGAAGCCTTTTGGCGCTAGTTTGATTCTCTTCCTCTATTGAGCCGAGTTCCACTGTTACGCGTTTTCTGCCTTGTTTTGGAATAACGTCGAGCCGGCTTTCTGCTCTACTGGGTCTGGTTGATTTTCTTTTCATCCCTTTCCAGATTTTAGATTTTTATATATTTTATATTTCAAAAGATATACTCCATCCACCTTCTTTTGCAAGTTCCTTCTCTTGGAAGTTAGGGCCGTTTTGGAATTTCTGTTTTTTTTTTTATCTTTACTTTACACTAGTCACGGGCCCGGCCCGTTGGCCGGTTTTATTTCGCTATGTAGTAAATAAGGATCGCAACTATTTTAATTGCTATACATTTTTGTATCACTAATTTTTCTAAAATTTTCAATATTATTAGAAACATTGGAAAGGATAAACCTCATAGAGTTTTTCAATATCCGAACAGATTCATTGAGTGAAATCAATACAAAAAATAAATAACAAACTCGAGTTAGAGAATTGACAATAACATAAACAACAATAGTAATTTTTTATATTAAGTTACGTTGTTTGGTACTACAAAAGAATAAAAAATATTCAATCACCAAAATAGGGAATGAACATTCATCATAGATTTTTTTGATATTATAACTGATTGATTGATGTAAAGATGAAAGTAAATAACTAAACTCATGTCAGGGAGACAAACCATAATTAAAGTAATATACCAAACCAAAATCAAAATCATCACCGTCAATATTCTCTTTCTTCTTGTGAGCAACAAAAGTTAAAAAAATTGAATGAGAAAATATTTACAATATGACACTGCAAGTTGCATTTATCTCATCCAATTCATTATATAATCGAATGATTTGTTGTTGTTCTCATCACTAAACCCCTTATCTTCAACATGATACTCTCTTCCATCTTCTCAACAGCGTCCTCATCTTAACTATAAAATCTGCTAATTTCACTATTACCATAGTCTTCTTTTGCATTTCATTAAATTCCAAAATTAGTGGTATAATTTTTAAAAATATGAAATGGGAACTTCAGACCATCTCCTATAAGGGGTCAAAGTGATAGAGTGCTAGAATTATTTGGCACTAAAAAAAGTAGGATTTGCTCCAACAATGGAGTGCTAGAGCTAAAGTGTCAAACTTGTTCTTTTTTATTACTTAGTTTAGAGTAGATTTCATAGTTTTAATTACATAGATTGTATATAACATTTATATAGGTTGTAATAATGAATTAAGACAAACATTTCGATGTAATTTTTTTAACTTGGACTAAAGAATATTTGTCGTTAAATATGATGTCATCAATGATGAAAATACAATATTTGGTTTAGATAACCATAGATTCATCGTATGTTTTTCCGATAAATTTGTGTCATACAGTTTTTATTCGGCTTTAATCTTAATGAGTTGTGTCATCAATTGTTCATAGCTTTAATCGGAATAAGTTGTGCAATCAATTGTTCATTGAGTTTTAGCCATTGTTGAAGAAGGGATCATTTCTTGTTTGTATAATAAACTCTCAAACTGGGTCATTCTACGCATCCATCATTCAACCTTTTTCTTGAAAAAACTATCCAGCTGTCGTTTATTTCTGTAGCTACTCAAAACTCATTTGCCTTCATGGATTCCCTGGTTGAGAAGTTGTAGAGAAAAATAGATTGATACATGAAGACAATTTTTTAACTGATGTGAAAAAGATGGAGAAGGAGAGAAAGTTTTGGAGGTAGTGAAGTGAAGTAGTAGTGAAAAAATGAAGTGTATTTATAGGAAAAGCTGAGAAAAGAGCTGTTGGATGGCCAAAATAACCGTTGGAGAGAATTTGGGGCTAAAAGTGTAAAAGTTATTATTATTATGTAATGCCCAGAAGGAAGGGAGAGTTGTGCGGCCTGCGCGTGCACCACATACACACTCTTTCTCCCTTCCTCGCTCCACGTTTGCGCCACACGCCATCTTTGACACGTAATTGTTGTGGCAAAGTGAGGGCGGATTGTCTGACTCCCCTTGTCGTGTACCGGTTCAGATTTGGCTCTCAATCCACTATATTTTTGCACTCTGACCTTTTCCACTTGTTATTGGAGGAAGTTTTTGGCAAGATAATTGTTTCTTGGATTTATAGTGGAGATAGACTCATGCATGTAACATTAATCTCATTTATGTCTTGAATATTTTCTAAGCTTCGCTCTTTAATCCTTCGTTATCTTCAAATCTATTTACTCACTTGTGGGATTCATGATGTTATAATCAGTGAGTTTGATGTCGAACTTCAACTCCAATCTTTCCATTCCTAGCAGAAGAGGAGGTGAAGATCCTCTCATTTTGTCTGTCTTGTAATATTTTATCCAAATCTCGGAGTTGGATCATGAACTCTATAAAATAGCATCAATTGGCATTCACTATTTAGTAAGAAAATTTATGTTTCAATGGGTATTAATGATTTTTTTGTTAAAAGAATGAACCTAAAGTTAGATTCTTACCTACTGGTGAGAGTCGTCTTCTACTTTTGGAGGACAGGTTTTGCGTCAAGCATCACGCCACTCATTCCAACTGTAATTAACAACTTTCTATTGGAAGAAACATAAAGTTTTCAAAATATTATATAAGGAGTTAGCATTTGAATATTAATGAGTCGTTAGATTGAAATTGATGTTTAACTCGTCTTTAATTTTAATTTTCAATTTATTGAGCTCTGGCAATATTTTTGTGGGGAATGAGTTTCATTTCTTACTCTCCTGGGAGGATGTGATACATCTCCATAACTTTAATCTTAGAAACAGTTATTATGAAACCAAAATTTGATTTTACTAAACTCCTAACTAATAAGTAATAACACACAACAAAATACATAACATCAAATAACATGAATTTCACCTTGACCTAAATTCAATCACTTACAAAATTTGTAAATTCGTTTTCAGATAAATATGTAAAAAATGTCTCTTTATCATTTTGTTCGTAGACAAAATAGTGATATAATAACCAGAATGAGAGGTCGATCACCAACAATTGCGAGAATGATATTTATTGTCCAGCCCCACAAAGAAACTTTAAGAACTAATCTCTTATACTCAAATTGTATATTAGGTCTGGAATAAAATTTTAAATAAGACATGTAATTTTAAGATGCAAGTAGTTAAGATTGATGCTTTAGTAATTAAGATTAAGGATGAGAATTTTACCTATACATGGGTATTTTGTTATCCAATCAAATTGGGTTGAGTTTGAAAATCAAATATATGGTATATGAGTAGAGTTTGATGGGTTTGTATCCATATCCATTTATTTGGGTTGGGTCAGGTTTTTGATTCATGGATTTGGATTTTACCCATAATCATATGAAAATTACAGTTTGATACCTAAACTTATTAGATCCTTAGATTTAGTACCTAAATTTTTTTTTTTCAAATAAGTCCTCAAAATGTTGACGTAAAATTACATTTTAGTACTACTTTTTTTGCACTTACATTTTGGTACCTAAACTTTTTAAATTTTACAAATAGGTCCAATTTTTCTATGTGTAGTTAAAACACTCTCAACCAAATGGATATCCATATTCAACCCATACCCATTTGGATTCTGGAAGCAAGATCCAAATCCTACCCAAGCCCATCTACAACCTCCCAAACTCATATAAACTTCACCCATACGCTAACCCATAATCAATGGGTCTACTTGGATTTGGATAAAATTACTCATGGGTGGGTAATTGACATCCCTAGTTAAGATGCTTTTTGTACCGAATGTATGGTTCTTACATAGTTAGGAAAACAATGTTGAAGTAAATCTTTTATTTGTTACCTAGCTATTGTTGCATTTGATGTCATTGTAAAACCTCACATTGTTGCCTTTGAAAAATACTCGTCCAAGGATTGTTCAAATTTTTGTAGATAGGTTTCTCGTCTAGCATAGTACCACTCATTTTTAATTTTAACAACCTTATATTTGAGAGAGACGTATTTCCTGTGTATTACATAAATTGTTAGCATTTGATGGTTAATGAATGGTTAAATCAAAATTCATATTTACCACTTCCGAATCATATGAATTCATTGAACTCTTGAGCTATTGTAGTGTTTTGGTTGGGATTAGTTGTGGGATTTTGTTTTTGATTTTACTAAGGAGGTGGTGCATCTCTGTTACTGTTATAACAATAAACAATGGTTATTAATCCTATGTATTTTGTCAAACTGTAAACGTATAAGGGACAATCAAAGACATGGATTGAGTTTACCATGGACTATCATTTCGAAACGAAGAATAGTATTTATTTTGGGATTGATTGTCAGCCACTTCATGGAAACAAAACACTTCAATTTTCTTTCATAATGGATATCATTCGAGCTCATAAATATGTAATAAACAATATCTTAATGTAGAAAGTATATAATTAAAAAAAAACATACATTACCTCTTTCTAAATAAGAATCTTAGCATATATAGCCATAGCTATTATCTTTATTGTAGAAATTGGAAACCAAATTTATAAGTTAAATTGTAAGGTTATAACACTCAAATGCAATTTAATCATCCAACAATCTCCTTCAAAAAATCAACCCACAATGATGAATACGTCAATTAAAAAGCTGAACCTCTACTTGATTGAAAAAAAAGGATCTCTAATCTCTACTACCCATATGTATCAGTATTACTATTAACTTGCCGATCCTAAGCGGTTTCAATGGAAATATGCTTTTGGTCTTCGGATTGGACTTTTATCAAAGTTAAAGGAAGCATTAGGCCCATATATACATACGTTATAGAAAAGAGACCCATAGCATTCATGAATTAAAAAAGAAGAAGCAAAAAGACTACAGAGTCCTTCCGTACTTCACGCAGGAGCCAGGAAAAAAGAGATGGAGTGGGTGCCGAAGGAGAAACCCCATATAATACTTGTTTAGATTAGATCATATGTTTATTATTTTATCAAGAGATTGAATAAACCAAGGTGAGAGGGAAGTGTGAGCATAACTCGCACCTACCATTAAGAAATAATAAAGTTCACATATATACACTAGAGTTGGCCCGCCCGTTGGGCGCATAAAGTACATCAATAGTATAATTATTAGTAGTAATTACCCGATCATCTATTTGGTAACATGAAAGAACTCAAATTAATAAATTACTATAATTATTAAAAATCAACATATATTATAAGTTTTACAACGTAACATCTTGATCATGACTGGACAAAAATTCTTATCAAAAAGTAAACAACACAATTCATGCACGTAATAGATTCCTTAAAAAAGCTTAATATTCAATACATTATAAGTTTTACCATCAAAGCGTCTTCTTTATATAACTTCATCTTCATTAATGATACTTTATATTCACCATCAATTATCTCTTCTGTCTTTTACTGCATTTCATTGAAAACTAAATTTCAATGATAAAATGTTTGGAAATGCGAAACATCTTTACCCATTATAAATATTATCAATCATTCACTATTTCCTCCAATCATAGATATTTCTATATCCACCATCAAGAATCTCTTTCTCTATCTCAATAATGTCAATATCTACATCACTGAATGCACTACCTCTGCTATTAGTTTACTCTTCTTTCTTCTTACATTTCATGGAATAACAAAAATTTAATGGAAAATTTGTTTTAATTGAAAAAAATCCATTTTCAAGAACTTAAAATTTACCCAGTACATGTCATGACTTTTGTTTGAGATTGCTCTTCTTCATACTTCATTATCTTCAAAACTGTGTAACCACTTATAGGGTTCGTGATGTTGGAAACGGTGAGCTTGATATGAAAATTTAACTTCATGCTCTCAGTTTGTACGGGATGAGAAGGTGATTGTTCTCTAATTTTGTCACTATCTTTGAGTAGTTTCTCAATAAAATTTCAAAAAATCTAGCTCACTCGCTATACATGACAATAAAGTTAGATTAAACAAATGTTATCTACAACTCACATCTAATCCTGAAGTTTATAATATAGAAGGTTCTTGATTACGTTGTTTTCTCTATAATGAATGAACTTGAAGTTAAAAACAATAGAAGAGTAGAGGTGTATTGTGACCTAACTACTATTGTTTTCTTCAAATTTTCTTTGGAAAGTTTTAATAAATATGGTTTTTCTAACCCATTTAAAATCATAGTTGAAACGAATGAGATATAGTCCGCTAAATTTGCGAGAAATTGAGAATCCCTTAACTATAGCTCTTGAGATTTGTGTCGGCTGTAACTAAAGAAGGTTATGCACAAAAATTTCATCCCTTTTACTTAGATGTTTGAAGATCGTACTGAAAGTGAATAAGATTACTCTCTGAAGTGAATATATTTTTGAGGCGTGAAATCAATAAATATAGTACTGAATAACATTACGAATTAACTTAAAACTCAAAATAATACTGAAGCAGATATAACATAACAAAATAATATGTTAGTGTCAAAGGATGTTTTGATAAGAATTATCATCGTACTAATACTACTCTCTCACTAATATTTCAACAAAATCAAGCGAAGTTATAACAAATAAAGCAAATAGAGTTGTCGATTTGCCGTTATGATAAAAGAAAACTATATATTACAAACCTAGATCTAAGGTAGTATGATCTCACAATTTTTAATCGTTACCTAGAAAAAGAACCTAAGAAAAAAGTCATCTAGGTGCTGGTTTTAAACTATGCACTTCTAGAAATTGTGGTCATTCTCTCTGCCAGAAATTCGAAATGGAGAAAAGTGACTAAAACTCTACCATCATAGGGAAATTTTTAATAACATGGTTAATGACAAAATATGAGCGAAAGAATCATAACTAATTTTATGAGTACTAATATTTTTTTTAAAATTAATAAACAATTATAAAGACAAAAATGTCCTTTCTACTTTCACTTTTCTCTGCTAGAAAATTAAAAATGGAAAAAATAACTAAAATTCTACTATATATCATAGGAAGAATGTGCTGACATGAAATTTGAAATAAAGTTCTATCTAATCTTCTTAGCGCTGTCTCTTTTGTCCTCCAAACTTAATCTTTTTATGTAAACTACCATATGGTGTACTACTTAAAAAGAGAAATTCTATCGTACCGGCTTATTGTGCTGGAAATATTGGATATCAAAATCAAATTGGTAGGGGATTTAGCGGTAGCAAATGATTGAACCATGGTTAATCCACATTTTAGTACAAAATATTCTATTACAGACTTTTCCGATATTATCTCTTGTGAGGGTTCACAATCCGTGCTTAAAAGTAAACCTGAAGACACTAAAACAATTATAAAGACAAAAATGTCCTTTCTACTTTGACTTTTCTCTGCTAGAAAATTAAAAATGGAAAAAAATAACTAAAATTCTACAATATATCATAGGAAGATTGTGTTGACATGACTTTTGAAATAAAGTTCTATATAATCTTCTTTGCGCTGCCTCTTTTGTCCTCCAACTTTAATCTTTTTATGTAAACTACCATATGGTGTACTACTTAAAAAGAGAAATTCTATCGTACCAGCTTATCGTGCTGGAAATATTGGATATCCAAATCAAATTGGTAGGGGATTTAGCGGTAGCAAATGATTGAACCATGGTTAAACCACATTTTAGTACAAAATATTCTATTACAGACTTTTCCGATATTATCTCCTGTGAGGGTTCACAATCCGTGCTTAAAAGTAAACCTGAAGACACTAAAACAGGTAACCATATATAGTGTTCGATCGTCAATCATCTACATTTAACTAAGTCAAAACCGCTTTCTCCTTCTCTTCGCAGGTTATTATACAAAATGATTGAATATCTATATGCACTTTCAAATAATTTTTTGATTCATAGATATAATGATCAATAATTGAACTTAAACTTAAATATCAAACTCGCAGCAGTAAGCAATACTACTTGAGTTATAAAATCCATATTAATTTGATTGGCTCAAATTAAAAGCCATATGTGTTGCAGAGAAGATAATTTAGTCTTGGTCGGATAGTATTTGGAATGAGGTTAATAAATAGAAGGCCAACCAAATATATAATTATCCAACTCTAAACTCGTCTCAGTGAGGTAATACATATTGGAAAAGACTCTTCTGTCCACCCGTGAGATGCGGTCAGGCTTCCAATATGTATTTTAACCGACCCTCTCCGCAGAACCTCTTTATATTATTGGGTAGATTATCTCTAGAGAGACCTTGGCAGGTAATTGAGCATGTGTACCGTGAGGCAAACTACGTTGCTGATTATTTAGCCTCTCTTAGACACTCTCTTGCTGTAGTGATGCACATTTTCGATGTTCACAGTACCATGTTGCTGTACTGGTTGTAATTTGATCGAGTTGGGGCTCAAACGCCCCGGTTGGTTTAATGCATAAAGGTTGGGGCGCCCTTTAAGCGCCCTGTTATCGAACAAAAAAAAAAATAGAGGGGATGGAATATGATTATTAGGTTTTATGCAAATTGATGATGTGTAAAAGTCACAATTAGAGTTTCTTTTTCTTTCTCCAAAAAGAGTATTCATATTATTGAAGAATCAAACATATATACCAAAGCTCATGAGGTCGAACACAACCAAGAACTAAAATTGAACATAACTAAAGAAGGGAACATTAAAAGCGTCTTTCGTACCACCAAATGAGCAACCATGTTATACTGATGACCAAATAAACCTGACATCAAAGCGCTCAAAATCTCATCGCATAACCACACACAATGTCCTCTATAACTGTACCCCTCGAACATGGGCCAACTGTCCGGAGTCTATCCACCACAACCATCTCGAGCATCGCCCACAAACACCATAGACGTTAGGCTTCTAGATAGGCACCATCGACTCACATTACGCAGCAAACAACAGTGGATGGTAATGGATAGACTTATTGGATAATGACACCTAATCGTCATTACTCGCATGGGTATTCGATTGGACCCAAATTAACTCATATGCACTCTAATAAATTTGGAATTGAGTTCGTTCCAATAAACCATTTCATTATTTGTCTTCAATCGATATTTTTGTTAAAAAAAGACAAAAATTACATAGGAGTTAAGTATCCATTTTCTTTTGGGTAAAACTAAGGAGTTGGATATTAATATTCTAAAAGTGATTAGGCCAAAATTGTGCCTAAAACCAACTCCACAAGAAAAGATGCCACCATACAAAGCTGCAGAGCATGTATCACCACCATGACCGACGCACCCTGCAAATAGGAGGATATGTGCCCCGAGTTCAGATGTCACAATCTTTGATATGCTTCTTTTTTTTGGGTAAGATCTTTGATATGATTTTATATATGAAGATGCAACAACTTAATAGGCAAAATTGGATATACGCTCGGGGTTGTTGGTCTTTGGCTAATGAACAGAACTTTAGAGCTATACTAATGGAACTCCCTCCCTCACAGTGGATAAAATGAAGTGTGTAAACAAACTGTAAGGCTGACCTTTGCTGCTGACTTGCAATGGATTAAGCAAAAGCTGGCAATCACTTGACATAGGCAACTGTACAGCCGAAGTTTGTTGCACTCTCTGGCTCATATTTACTGACTCGTGGATGCTTTCCTAATATCTCGAGTGTTCGCTGCTTCACAGCTCCAGTTCCTGTCCCGTGTACCACAAAGACAACTGACTGCGGCTCCACAGCCGATAAGGCTGTGCTCAAGTGGAGAGCAGCTTCTTCTACTCTCATCCCTCGGAGATCCACCGTGTTTCTTGATGTTTGCACGCGAGCACCATAAACTTCCTTCGGTTTCTCGATTGCAGACTCCGAGTCCATTGGACGAACCTAAATGACAAATCAATTCACAGAGAGCCACTGTTAGTTATGAACCAACCAGATTACAATATGGCACCCCATGTTTTTGTCATTAACAGCCCCCCACTAACCCACAACCCACTTGCCATTCTAGCTTGCTAACTGAAACATAGTAGCTCTGTGACTGTGAATGTAAACCAGTCTTACCTGCCTCTTTATCCGTCTCGTTGAGCTAGATGAACTGCTCTTCTTAGTAACTCTGGTAGCTCTTATGTCAGTCTTGTTCACACGAACTTTGATTTTACCATATTGCACTAAAACTGCATCATCATCGCCAGGGGCTTCGACTACAGTAGCTAGCTTGTCGCCCAGTGACTTCACATGTACTTTTTCTCCAACCTCTGGGGTATAGGATACCATGTTCGTTTCCCTTCCAGAGAGACTAGGAGCAGGACAGTTGGCTTCCGCGATTGATGCAATTCTGGTTTCTGCCTTTTTAACCAGTGCATTGAGCTGCTCCGTGCTAGTTGTTCTAAGTTGGTTATCGAAATCCTGTAATACAGATTGGAAGGCAGACTTCACAGCCTTTACATCCTGTTGGACCTGCTGAGTTTCCTGTGCCATGAGATCTACCACCCGCTTATCAAGTTCTTGTGCCTCCTCTTGAAGCTTAAGTGGGGAAACCAGGGAGAGGAAATAGAAGAGAGTTAATTAGGAGATGACAGGATAGATAAATAAAGTACATACGTATGGGTCATTTATTCCTAAACATTAATCAAACGGGTCTGCTTTCCACACAAAACAAACCCACATTTGAGGACGTTTCAAGATGGACCAACTGAAGCCCCACAATCATTTTAATTTTGATTAAAGTGTGTACCAGAGAAGGCAAGCTCAGTCTGTCCACCCTTTGAATCATTTAGAACATGAAGAGAGTGTCTTTCAATTTCACAAATGAAGGCATCAGGCTCGAGTTGCAGAAAACTCGTAAAGCAACAAAAGCTTCAGACTTTCAAACCTCACCTCATTGTATATCTCCATTATTTCTGCATGCAAGGATGCAGCTTCCCCTGCCTGAGCCTCCAATCGGCCTCTTTCCTCCACTAATGACTGATAAAGCAAGCCTCTTCGCTCCTGCTGCATTTCTGGCCTTAACTTGTCCAGCCAAATTTGTGCACGTTCAATTATACCGCTGTCGAAACCAATAGATCTAGCAATGCTTAATGCATTTGAATCACCAGTGCTTCCCCATAAAATTTGGTAGGTTGGTTGCAAGGTTTTAAGACAAAACTCCATTGCTGCATTCTCAAATCTGGAGTCATTTTCTTTAAGGCGACTGAGATCAGCGTAATGAGTTGTCACAATAGCCAAGTTGACCCTACTCCCAAGATATCGCAAGATGCTTGCTGAAAGAGCCACTCCTTCAGAAGGATCAGTTCCACTGCAGATCTCATCAATGAGCACAAGGGATCTTTCTGACGTTACTTCCAAGATCTTGCAGATTCGAGATATGTGCCCGCTAAAAGTAGAAAGACTTTGTTCTAAAGACTTGACAAACAAGACAAAGAGTTAAAAGTAAAGAACAGCTTCCAGCAGAACCAAGGGAGGCGAAAACCCGATTGAAAAATGCAATAAATACCTGATGGTCCCCTATATCTGCCAGAACAAGATCGAACCATGGTAACTTAGGGGCATTCAAAGCAGGCAAATACAGGCCAGCCTTAGACATCAAAGATGCTACACCCAGAGTTTTCATTGAAGCAGTTTTCCCGCCAGTGTTAGGCCCCGAGATAACCACCACCCTGGTTCCACATCTCACTTTGATGTTTATTGGCACAGGGTAATCAGGTTGGCTTTCTGAAAAACGTTCCTTGTCCACTGCATTTCCCTCACCCGATTTAGACGAATTCTCTCGTTTCGACTTAATGATGTTGGAAACATCCCTTTTAGCTGTTCCAAGTAGCAATGGATGACGTATACCTTCAATATCTACCAACAAGGAATCAGATGCTTCACCTGAATAAGCAGCCGTGCACCATTCCGATGTAAGAATCGGGCACACACCATTCATCCACTGTGAATAACCAGCTCTAGCAAAGGCAAGATCAACTGCCAAAATACAATCCAACAAATACCTGATCTCCCTCTCAGATTCTGCAATCTCAGAAGTAAGCAAGCTCAAAACAGCTACTTCCTCCTCCTTCTCGGAATTCGAAAGCATGACTTCCAAGTTATTCAACTCAACGGCGTCACCAGGCTCCATGAAGTATGTTGCACCAGAGCTACTAGCATCTAAGACCACACCACCTTTGATTAAGTGCCTGTGAGAAGCCCTAACTCCGACACAGAACCTGGACCGGCGTTTGGTTACCAAAGGTTTATCGATGCCGCCACCTTGATACACTCTGGTAGACGCAGCTTTCAGCAAGGCATCCAAGTTCTCCATATTCTGCTTCCTCTCCGACCTAATGATCTCCAAGTCTTCGCTCGCTCTGTCAAGGATTGTCGAGAGATTGCAGTCTATACAAAACCCAATTTTCTGCTCCAATTCAAACTGGAAATCGCAATCCTCAATTATTTCAAGCAGAGCGGCGCTCCTATCGCAAGAACACACAAAACACAAACCGAGATTACGAGATTCAGAACTCCCGCCGCCCTAACGCCATTGCATAAAATGATTTCAATAGAATCCACAACTTATCCATTACCTTTCCGAGCTATCTCCGCCGTGAGTCAACCTCTCCGCCACGGCTCTCGCTGCTATCAGCGTCCGCCTCACTGCACAGAGCTCCCTGACGGTAAGCAGAGTCCCGGAAACAGCAGAATCGACGATTTCGGTGATGTCCTGGAACTGGGAGAAGTCCAAGGGTCCAGAATCCATGACGGATATGGCGGCAGTGGTTTGGTCCAGAAGCTTCTGGCTCTCCTCCGGTGTGTTTCCGATGGGGATGGTTGCGCGTTGAGCCACCCCGCGGCCCAAGGAAGTGGAAGTGAAGCGAGAGAGCTGAGCGCAGAGTGAGTCCCATTCCAGAGCTTGCAGCGTTTCCGACTGCAGAGAATTCGGGGAGCCGAGTTGTGAGCTGGATGAGATGGGGAAGCAACGGAGAAGAGGCTTTGGTGTGGTGCGATGGATGGAGAAGAAAGGTGGAGAGTTGTTGATGGAGACGAAGCGATTGAGGTGGAGGGCTTGCATCTCAGTTTCAGGGGAGAACTACGGATTGAGCGGAAGAAGCCGCAAACATATCTACTAAACTTCAGAAAAAATTAGATAAATTAAACAGTCTTTTGCTTTTTTAACAGTTAAGAGTTGCTGTGGCCTGTGGTGTAGTGGTTATTATGTCAGTTTTACTGACACATTGAAAATCTCCCGTTCAATCTTGGGTAGTAACATTATTTCAGATGCTTTTTTTTTTTCTCCATAAAATTTAGGTTTTGTAAAATTATGGATATATGAGAATTTTGGGTTCATTATAGACTTGAAAAATATCATTGTTTGTTACATAGATTTTAAGATGGAATTGATTAATTATATTTGTTTATATGAAGTAAAATTACTCATATTGCCCTCATTGTTATGAGAAGAGAAATGAAATAAAAGTGTGTAGTTTTGTCTTAAATGATGGATTTCAAAGTTAATGATCAATTCCCACCTAAAGAAGTGGAACTTTCAAGTATAAGCGGTCCACGGATTTGGACCCTTAAAGAGTATGGATAAATATATAGTTGTAACAAAGATATTTTGGTTTCCAACTAATAAAATTAATCAATATTCAGACTTTTTCCAGAAATACCATTAAAAAGAAAAAAAAATCAAAAATACCACAAGTTTCCGAAAATTACCAAAAATACCACCATTTCCCCAAAACCATCTGGTGGGGGTGCGGTTTTCGACATAAATCGCATGAGTGGGGGCGATTTTGTTGACCGCTCGGGGTAGCGGCGGTTTGGCTCAAAACCGGTGCCCCACCCTCGGTTTGGTCCATAATTTTTTTCCTATAAATTCTAACCTAGGTGGAAACTTCAAACGAACGTATCTTTGTGCTCGGCTCAGGTATCCGATTGTAGCGAAATATTTTTTGATTTCGCATAACTTTTCGAGATCTTGAACACCGCAAACGCCATAGCCTGTTTGGTCTCGCCTTCATCCCGAAAAAACGTCGTTTGCTACCATGAACGAGCTTCTTTTTAATTTCGCCAAACTTTGTACGACCATAACTTCGTGCTCCGAAATTCGAACGTCGTGAATTTTTTTATTTCCCATAACTCTCGAAGGACTACAATTTATATCGTAGACATAATTTCGGAATGTACGTGGATTTGTGAAAAGTGAAGGTAAAGTTATTTCCAAAATATCGTATATTACAAATAATTCATGTTTTTAAAATTCCTCTAGTAAAAAGTTGTAGTCCTTAAAAAAGTTATATGAAATAAAAAAAATATTGTGACGTTCAGATTTTGGAGCACAAAGTTATTGTCGTCCAAAGTTTGGCGAAATCGAAAAAAACTCGTTAGGAGTAGCAAACGACGTTTTTTCTAGAACGAAGGCGGCAATTTACGGCTTGCAAGATCTCGAAAAGTTATGCGAAATAAAAAAAAAATCGCTACGATCAGATACCCGAGCACAAAGATACGTTCGTTTTAAGTTTCCGCCTAGGTTAGAATTTTTTTTTTTTTGCCATAGATAGATAGTAAATAGATAGCGTATTACAAGTTATTGAAAATTAAAAGCGGTAGTCAACCTAGTGTTGAGCTACCGATGCAATGGCCGTTATTGCCACTAAATGGGCAGCCCTGTTAGTATGCCTAGAACCATAAAAACACGAATAAACGCGAAGGAAGTCTTCGTGCAGCAAAATTCTTGAAGTACCTATCCGCCTAGAATGTTCATATCTACTATAAGTCAAGCTTCAATAGGCCAACGGTAGAGTTGATGTGCAAGCTACCTGCAAGATGAACACACAAACGGCCCCTAAAGGAGCAAAGCAAATTTCAAGTACCAACGAACGCCTACCAGAGATGCTCCACAAGCTCAATGAACTACTCCGCCCTGCAAAGGAGCCTTGTCGAAGATGGTATCGAACAGTCGCACAAAAGCGAAAACAACGAGATTGGGGAAAACTGTCGGATGAGGGCACCAAACTTTCTTTTCTAAAAGAGATTGAAATTATAATTGAAACCAAATAATAAACAGATAATAATTCATTAGGAAGATTAAGGGAAAATAAAAATAAATAATAAATAACTAAGAGATGCAATGGGAAAAAGATACATAAGATAATCCTAACCATTAAAACTAAAAATGATGGACGAAATTAAAAACAAATAAATATTATTAAGACTAACGAGAAGAGGAAAGAAAAAACCAAGAGAATAAATGTAAAGAAAAAAAAAATATTATTGTTAATCAAAAGGAAACGGTTGATTTACTTACCTGTAACCGCAATCCACTTACCGTATCGGATATGTTATCCGGCAAAATCGTTGCTCGTTCGCTTCCCCTGCTTGCCGCCGACGAGCATGTGAATTTCATGTTAGTAATGATGTGTCGGGCCGTTGGTGATGGAAAGGACGTTCCGAAGCCATGCTCCCATCGCCCAATTGCACCACCACGCCATGAAAGACGATGGAGTTAGCTGTTAGTGTGATTAGAGCCACCCCACCCCGACACATGAAAATTATGGATCAAATTGCAGGGTGGGGGAGCGGTTGTGGACCAAACCGCCCCACCCCGAGCGGTCAATAAAACCGTCCCATAACCACGCGGTTTACATCGAAAACTTTCCCTCCACCAACCAATTTTCGAGAAATAGTTGTATTTTTGGAAAATTTCGAAAATGGTTGGTATTTTTGAATTTTTTTCTTTTTTATTGGTATTTCTGTACGAAATCCCCAATTGTCTAGCGAAATTTTTCATAATGGGCCTTCTTGGGGAAAGTCAATGGCCCACGAAATGGCGCGCTAGCAGTTTTCCGTTAATCGTCCTTTCTTTCCCAGATACCGCGCTAGCGCCTACCACAACAACAGCTGGCCGTTAGTGCGGAAGTAATGTAAAAGAAAGGTCGCAAGTCGGAACGGAGTCCGACAAGTAAAACAAAAAACAAAAATTCGATCACCATTTCTATCTTCGTCGCTTCAAAAATCAATGGAATCCCCGATTCTCAATTCAATTATTCAGTCGGCAAACTCTCACTTTCCTCCCCCAATTCTCCTCTTCCACTTCCCATCGATTTCCCGACAAAAAAACAACGCCGACCTCCGCAATCCACATCCCAAGTCCCGCGCCGCTCTCCTCCGATTCCCAACCTTCGCTCCGATTCGAGCAGCATCATCGAACTCCGCCGCACAGCTCAATTGCCGCGGCTGGGACGACGATTTCCATAAACCCACCGGCGACGACTGGGCGGCGGCGAACACGGGCGAGACATCATTTCGGCTCCGCGATTTCGTAGTATCTATCGGAATCAACGATAAGAGGTATGCCTTCACTTTCCTGCTCGGAGCCGTCTTCGCTTTTGCGATCTCCAGGGTCAGAGTTTCGTATATCGCCTTGGTTCCAGCTTCCGCTGTGGTTTTCGCAGTTGGGTTTTCTTTCGGGTTTGTACGCAGCGGTACTGGTCTCAGTTTGTTTAGTGCTAATACAGTTAAGAGAAAGGCGAACGAAGCCTCTTCTAGGTTATCTAGCGATAGGGCGAATGCTGTCGTGGCCGAGTTTCTGAACGAGTTTGGGGTTAAAGTCAGTGAACTGAAGGACAGTCTGCTTAGAGCAATTGACAGTAGAGAGATTAAGATGGACGATTTAGAACATTATGTTCATGTCATTGAAGCAATGGAGACATCTGCTTTGAATACTAGACGTTCTATTGAGGCAACTGCCGATAGCATCGAGAACCCTAAACCGGTAAGCAGGAAAAGAAGACAGATTGGTGAGGTTGGCTCTGAGTTGGTACAATCTCTTGTTTCCAGAATGTTTCAACCCAAAAGAAAGGTGGTTAGTCGTCCAAAAACTAATAAGGTGAAAGAGAATGACAATGTTGAACCAGTAGCTACTGTCAGTTTGTCAAGCGATCCGATTCTGGAGATTGAAGAAGGTGTTGACAAGGATGTTATTGATTCCAAGGGTAGTCCTGGTTCTGTTTCTTCTCAAGGTTTTCCCAGTAAGTTAGCTTTGGACTGGGATGGGGACAGAAGGATTAGAATAGTTTCAGATCATATGCAAGAACGTGTGGATGCAGAAGCTTCTTCTGCAGGGGACCCGAGTTTCCTGGACTCTGATGGAGCTTACAGTTCTTACAGCAGGAAGACAAATCATGGTCAAACATATAGTTCTAGTAGCTACATGGAAGATAGCAGAAGATCGAATGAAGATTTGCACTTGATGGATCGTCAGGATGTTCCGTGGAGTGAAGCAGGCTCTTCTTCTCCTTCTTCTTCTTACTCTTCTTCAGCAGTTTCAGATGATGTGGCATTCAACAGGTATCTTACGGAGGCTAACAGCCTTCTGAAAGAGGCTAAGGAGTGCATAAGAGGGAGACAGGAAGAAGAGCATGCAGAGGTGTTGTTATACAAATCTGCTAAGTTACTGACCAAGTCTGTAGCTTTGAAGCCAATGAGTTTATTAGCCGTTGGCCAACTGGGAAATACATATCTCCTTCATGGTGAGCTAAAGCTGAAAATCAGTCGCGAGTTAAGAGCTACACTCTCGACGTGGGGGCCATTGTCATTCGAGAACCAGGGTTCGATTAGTGTGGGCCCTAATGAAATGAAAAGGAAAGATAAGCTCGTGGAAATCCTTACTAATGTGTGCGAAGAGTGTGAAGAACTTCTTGTGGAGGCAGGCAGAAAATACAGAACGGCATTATCTATTGATGGGAATGATATGAGAGCTCTGTATAACTGGGGGCTTGCTCTAACATTCCGTGCACAGTTAATTGCAGACATTGGACCTGTAAGCATTCTTCTTAAGACTTCACTAGTCATTTGCTTGAGTAAACTTTCAGAAACATCTGCTGTTAGAAATTGATATTATGTCCCTAGACAGATTGCATGTTTAACTCAATATTTCCATTTTCCAATGGCAGGAAGCTGCCTTTGATGCTGACAAGCTGTTTCTAGCTGCAACTGATAAATTTGATGCTATGATGTCCAAAAGCAATGTCCATGCACCAGATGGTACGTGAAACATGCCCTTTCTATTTTCTCTGAGTAAAATTGTCCATTTTTCTAACGGGGCTTTGGATGTGCAGCCTTGTTTAGATGGGGTTTGGTGCTGCAGCAAAGATCTCGGCTAAGGCCAGCAAACAGTAAAGAGAAGGTGAAGCTGTTGCAACAGGCGAAAAGGCTGTATGAAGATGCACTGCGTATGGACTCCGACAATGTCCAAGTACGAGAGGCACTGTCCACTTGCATGTCTGACCTGAACCGCAGGTTGTTTAGATCGTTTTGATGGCCACCATTTGGCTTCAGCTCGCAACAGAACGCCTATACTGCATATTTTTTGTGGTTGGTATCTTTCCGGTTAGTTCTCTATCGTCTCTCTGCCTCTCTAGGAGTTCATTTTCACGACCCCCTGATGCAGTCTGCTTGTAGAAAGAACAGTAGAGTGTTGAACAAATAAAAGGTTGGGAGACCACGATCAGGGTCTTAGCTTGATATGACCGATAAGGTGTCATTCCTTTCTTGTCTCGTCCAATTTCCCATGGTTCTAAAGACCCCAACTAGGTAACTTGGCCTAGTTGTGGATGGGAACCATTTCTCAGGTGTGAGACCAACAACTAGGGTCTTAGCTTGATAAGGTTATATGGCCAATAAGAAGGTGCAAGTTCCTCCTCTCGTCAAATTTCCATTTGTATATTGCCCTAATTCATGTGACTTATGCAATTGCTGTGGTTGTGGGTTGTGCCACCGTTGCCAGTTTTAATCGAAGGAAGCTGTCACTTTACACTAGTTCACTAAAACGCTTTACGCGTTTAATTTACTAAATGGGTATTCTTTTCATGACATTAATTATAAAAAGTATATTTTAATGGTAAATTATCAACAATATGATCATTTGAGATTAAAAAGATACATATCGGGTACTTGGATGCATTCTCAGTTTCAATAGAGTAATCTATTTCACCAGCTAGGTTCTTCCCAAATTCATTAGTATAAAGCGGGAAGTGGCTTATTGTTAAGATTTATGTTTATGAACTTATTATGAAGAAGCTATAAGTTGCTCTACTTTAGGCATGAATTGCAGGTACTTATTAACTTTTCTAAATTTTGTGCTCATAGTTTCCATAGTATATGTTGTACTTAATGGATTTTTAGTTATTTTAAAGCATGCGTCAAACACTTACATTTTTACGCTTTAATTCTACGTTTTATAATTTTATCCCTTTTCCGTTTCTAGGTAGAATCGCGCTTTTGACTGCATACTTGCAGAAGCATAATCGAACAATGAATGGGATCAAATCCCAAAATACACACCTTAAGAAAAAAATTCCCAAAATACACATGTTTGGCCATCACTGCGGTTGTCAACCGCAGTGAATGCATTCACCGCGGTCGACGAAAGCGGTGAATGCCTGACCTAACACTGAAACTTCAAACGAACATAATTTTGCGCTCGGTTATCCGATTGTAGCGAATTTTTTTTTATTCCGCATAACTTTTCAAGATCTTTCAATCTGCAACAAACGTTCATCCCATAAAACTGTCGTTTGTTACCCCGAACGAGCAATTTTTCGATTTTGCCAAACTTTGGAAGGCCATAACTTTTAGCTCCTCAATCAAAACGTTATAAAAAAATTATTGTGCATAACTTTTTAAGAACTACAACTTTTACAAGGAAATAATTTTTTTAAAAAAGAAATATTTTTTAGTATACGGGATTTTGGGAATAACTTTGCATTTACTACAAATACACATACATTCAAAAATTATGGTTATAATCAAAGTTGTAGTCCTTCAAAAGTTATGCGAAATCAAATAAAAGTTTCATGACATTCGGATTGCCGAGCACAAAGTTATGGTCTTCCAAAGTTTGTCAAAATCGAAAAATTGCTCATTTTGAGTAGCAAACAAGGTTGTCAAACCGGTTTATGCCAGTGTGCCGGTTTAGCAAGTGGAATGGTTCAACCGGTGGCACATACCGGTTTGTGGCGGTTCATGCCGGTCAATATTACAAATAAAATTATAAATACTCATATTTAAACATGACATTTAATGTCAATACCTAAACATTTATACTTGAATCCAACAAATAACATCAATATTTAACTTTTATACCCATAAAATAAATAATAAAATAATTTTTATCAATTAAATTCTCTAAAATAAGATCATTTTACTTAGAGATTCGTATATCGATCATGCCGGTCATACCGGTGGTGTCACGCCGGTTTTATGACCGATACCGGTTGAACCCGGTACAACCGGTGGCACGCCGGCCGGCGTGACAACCATGGTAGCAAACGACATTTTTTTGAATGAAGGTTTGTTGCCAACGAATAGATCTTGATTAGTTATGTGAAATAAATAAAAAAAATTCACTACAATCGGATAACCGTTCCCTACTCGATATGGTAGATACCAAGAATCTCTCCTAACCGGATGGAGGTGAGGGAGAATGAATGCATCCCATTCCCATTGATCTACATCTACTAGCTATTACCATCAAATCCAATCAAGAAGAATCATCCCCCAAAGCCCATGTGCAATAAGTTTGCACGTGCTGCCGATCACACCAGCTGACTACTCTTGGCAAAGTAAGAAGGATTGAATTGCCCACATCTCACACTTCACATGTAGTCTGCTCACTAGGGATACGTACGTGTACCTAACACCACACAAATCTCTAGTCTTTAAACCGGAGTATTCCATCTGTACAACTAGTGGTGGCTAATAGATCGAATTTATGGGTTGGTGGATTCATGGATTGGATCAATTGGATTGGTGGATCGATCCATGAATCCAAATGATATACAAATCTTGGACCAAAATGTAAACTTTGAAAAGTATAGGTACTTAAATGTCATAATAAAAAGTTTAGGTACCCAAAATGTATTTTTTTCATTGATATTTTCGTATAAAAATATAAATTTCAAGTTCCAAAATATAAAATATAAATATATAGGTACAAAATCGTAATTTTCCATTTGGATTCATGGATTGATCTAATAATCCACCAATCCAATTGGATTTGGATCAAATATATTGAATTTAAATGAATTGGATTATGTAGATAATTTGGTGAATTGATTAAATTGAATTCATGGATTTGGATCATAATTGTCTACAGTACAACCCTCCACCCCACTGTGAGACAAATGTCCACATCCCTGCTTTCACTACTTTTCTTGTTTAATCCTAGACACACATATCTCGTTGAAAATATCACTGTTAAATGAATCGACATTCTTGTTTTCTACTTCGTGAACTTTGTGGTTAACGTTTCACATTCGAAATCGACCAAGATCACCCACAAAGCAGCTACAGAGACGACGAAGAGAGAAGCCAAACACCCAATTCCATTCTACAACAGAAGGGGGAAGAAAGAAACGTAAGAAATTAACACTTCACCTAAACATAGAGAAGTGGGGAAGGAGGAGGAGGAGGAGAAATTGCTAAGCAACTGGTTACAAATGTTCCCGGAAAACTTCCATCATAGCGGCGTAGGTAACGACGCCGACCAACATCCCGTCCTCTTCCACGACCCAAATGTACGCCGACCGGTGAGACAGCATCTGGATCATCACCGCCACCAACGAGCTCCACGGATGGCACATTATGTCCTCCGTGCTCCTCACCACTCTCGGCGAATGCCTCCTCCTCCCTCCTCCTCCTCCGCACTCCTCGTCGGAGGAAGACGACGAGATCGCCGTGGAGGAGTCGGAATCGTCGTCATCTCCTGCCGCCGCAACCACCAACTCCACCGCGGCCTCCAAATTCTTCGCCGCCAGCCTCTCCTTCACCATCTTCACCAGCTCCTCCGGCATGTCACCGAAGCAGTCTATGTACGTCATCAGATCCCCCGCCGACAGCGTCGCAACGGCGGCGGCCGCGGACTCGTCGCAGCAATTCAACGCTGCGGGAGAGATTTCCCCCACCAGCCTCCCTTCCGAGTCCAGAATCGCCACGGATGTCTGCTTGATTAGAGATTGGGAGATCAAGGGCAGGGCGGATGACGCCGGGTCGTCGTAGTGAACGGCCAGGATCGATTCCTTGTCGACGATGCCGAGCGATTCGACGGTTCGATTCGGGAGGGGGGAGAAGATGCCGATGCAGTTGAGGAGGTAACGGATTATGTCCTCCTGCGTCAGCCAGCAGAACTCGCGGCCGTCGTGGAGGGTGGAATTGGGGCAGCTCCTCTGAATCAGCTTCTTCCTCGACGGGAAATGGCTGTGGATCGGAATCACCAGATTCTGCGCTCCTTCCGCGATCAGATCTACGGCCTCCAACAAACTGAAATATTCGAGAACAAATGAGGGAAAAGGGGAACAGATCAGTTAGGGTTTCAATTTTTTTTTTCAGGAAATCAATGGCGGAAAAGGAAATCCTCGTAAAATTTACCTGGCGTGCGGCTCCAAGTGGCGGACGACGCCGGCGGGGACGCCGTGGAGGAGAAGTGAGAGAGGTTTCTGAAGCGCGACGGCCGGATTTTTTAAATTCTCTTCTCTAGCGAGGAAGCAGATGACGTCGACCATACAGACCTTCCCGACGCACAGGCATTCGCCGTCTACATCGAGGGGTTTTCCCTGAGAGCGGTGGTTGCAGCTCCACACGCTGAGAGGAGAGGAGGAGTCACCGAAGCGGCGGAGAGCGGACAGAGCGTCGGCGACGGTGGCGGAGACGGCGAGGGACCTCAGAGCAGGCTTGCCCAGGCATAGGTCGGATACCTCACGGGCCAAGAAACTATCTGCCATACACAGTGGGAGACGAATCGAAGGAAGAAACACAGAGAGAGGAACGGGAAAGTTCTCCGGCGAGAGTAAGAAGAAAGGAGGGGAGAGGAGATCTTGTGGAATCCTGAGATGGGTGAGAGAGAAGAAGAAGAAGAAGATATTTAACAGGAGAGTGCAGAAATTTATTTCGTCAGCGTTTACGCGTTTAATTTAATTTTTTACTTTCGTTATATTACTATATAATAATAAAATATTACTTTCAAATAGTTTGTTGGTTTTATTTTGACTGTGACGGAGGGATCCTCTTATCCTATGGGCCTGTTTTTAATTGGGCTTATTTATTATGGATAGATGGCAAGGTGACCGGGAAGTTCGGTATAAAAAGAAAAGTTAAATGGACCGTATTTTCATTTACGTGAGTTTAGACCCGGTGCTCGTGCCAGCGCCGCGCAGTTCATCTCATAAAAAGTTTACCGGTCACAACCGGTCAGAGGCAGGTTGTACGGCTAGCTGTACTGGGCTACTTGGCGCCGCCCACTAAGAAAACGTTTTGGTGCCTATTTATTTTGATCTTTTTTTTTGTTGCATTTATTTTTAGTCTCTATATATTTTGATATAAAATCCAAATTTCATTCTATAACACTATCGTATCGTTTGGTATTAAAGAATTTCATATGATCTCTAGAAATTCATTTTGACATGATTTTTTTTAAATGTAAATGAATTCATTTTAAATTTTGAATTAAGCGAATATTGAGGCTAGTTTTTGCAATTCCGAAGAATTAAAGTGGAATTTGAAATGAATTACACAATTATTTTACTAATTGTGATAAATTACATAGTTATATTCAATTATTATGTGAAAATAACTCCTATATATACATAATTTGGCATCAATACTCTAGATTTGTGCGCCTAACCTTCCTCGCTTAGAATTATCAGAAAAGGAAAAATCATCCGCTCAGTTGCGACTTAAGCTAATATATAATCATCATTTCTCTCATATATCCTATTTTATGTGCTTTCCAGCGGACTCAGCTCGTTTCATTCTTCTGCTACGCTGTAACTCTGTCAATTGATGACTTCGACCCATGATCTTGCTTCTTACAACACCATGAGACAAAGGATTGTCCTACCCGAATACAACAACCCGATGTTGATATGTGAGTATCAATACACCCTGCGTAGTCTGTATCTGCAAATGCTTCAACCGTGGATCCTCGTGTGACAGGAAAGAATAATCTAACATTCTGAGTCTGCATCAGATACCTCAGAAGTCTATGAACTGCTGCTAGATGAATATTAGTCGACACTCCCATGAACTGACTCATAATCTGAACAACATAAATAATATATGCTCGAGTGTGAGTTAAGTAGATTAAGCTTCCAACCAGACAGCGATAAACATACCAATCTTCTATCAACTCTCCCCCCAATCATGGCTCAATTTCATATTTTGTTCCGTGGGAGTAGAACATGGAACACAATCGAGAAATTGAGCTAACTCCAACATATCAACAATATACTTGCGTTGAGACACAAATAACCCATGGAAGGAACATCTGACTTCAAGTCCTAGAAAGTAGGAACTTCGTCTAGTTCTTTCAAGTTAAACACTTACCGTAACTCCTAAATGACTGCATGTAACAATCATATCATAAACATAAATCAAGAAGATGACAATTTCATCTGTCGTCGTCCGTGTGAACAAAGAGGGATCGTTCTGACTTTGGAAGAAGCCAACTTGAATAATTACCATGAAATTTCTCAAATCATATTAATAAAAATAAGGAAACAAAATAACGCCAATTAAAAAAATTAAAATGAGAGATTCCGAGCCACTAAACATTTCCATCTTCCAAACTAAAAAAAGTGAACCCATCTTAATCTAAACCCAACAAGCAAAGTGGAGACCCAAGAGATATCAAAACATAAGCTGTCCTTTTGAGCTTATATAAGTTATTATAACCCAGCCCGACCCATACCAGGCCCACAAACCCTCCGTACTTTGCCCTTGAAATAAAAATCTTTCTCTTCTCCTCAACGCTTCTCTTTCTTCCTCCTTCCTCATCCTTCTCTCTTTCTCTCGCCAAGAAGGAACCCAGACCTCCACTACTCGAGAGAGACTCTCCTGTTCTTTGATTACCTCTTCGACTTGGTTTATGAGGTAAAAAATCCCATCTTTTGCCTCCTTTTCCCAATTCCATTCGCTTCCACTTGATCCAAAGACGAGAACTTTTTGCGCCATCTGCAATGTCCCTGCAAAATCCTTTCTTGCCTTTCGTTCTGGATCTGTTACCTTTTGCCGAGATCTCTTTTTTGGAACAATACCCTTCTTGCTTGATTAACCGGCAGTATTATTGATGAATTTCTAGCTTTTGATTTGGTTCATTAGTAATTTCCTGATTATTAGGGTTTCTGATTTGGTGCCTGGTCGCTGTGTTTGTCTGCAAGTTTGCACCTTGCTGTTGTTTGTTTTTCCTATTATATTGGTGTCCCTTCCATTGATTAGTTTGGTTATTTTTTTCCTCCCAAATATGAGTTGCACTGGTTGTTTCGTCGAATTTGGATTGTGGATCAGTGTCTTTTTATATGGTTAGGGGTACGGGATTCTGTTTCTGATGTTCTTGTTTGATTGGGTTGTCTGATCTTGGTAGGAATTTCCCTGGATTTTATAATGCTCTTTGTTCTTTGTTATCTTCTTACCTGCTGGTTACACAATTGACTACAACTTATCCTTTCGCTCTTTGTTTGTTCTTGCAGCTCGAAGGAGAGACCCACTCTTGGGTAAGTTCTATCTTCTTTTGAATCTCTTATGGATTACCTAGCTGAATTTCGATTCGTAACCGTGCTGGAAAGTTTATGTCTATGGCTCTTTTTTTATTGAAGTTATGTGCGTATAGTCTTGTATATTGTTTTTCTCTGACCGTGTTCATCGAAACCTTTTGTGTGTATGCAGTGGCACGCGGATTAAGACCCGCAAACGGAATATTGCAGCGTCGCTGGACCCTGCAGCATTTTCGGATGCAGTGGTCCAGATTTATCTGGAAAATGCTGGTGATTTGGTATGTACCTCACGCTTTCTGTACATTGATTTATGTTGTTTGAAATGCCTTTGGAAAAATTTGATTCTTATCATGATTAACTCTCTTTAGGAACTTGTCGCTAAGAGCATTGAATCTTCAGAACTGAACTTCTCTAGATACGGTGACACCTTTTTCGAGGCAAGTACTTTCATCTGTCATATAAATTGTCAATAAGCAGCAGATTCCCTTATCTGGTTGATCAATATAGTCACTGGATTCTTGTAGGTTGTTTTCACAGGTGGCCGTACTCAACCTGGCACAACAAAACCTGATGAGGGGGAGCGACATCCTTACTCATTTCTAGATTGCGAGCCTAAGCGGGAGACTATTCTTCCTTCTGTGATTTATATACAGAAGATTTTACGCCGGAGGCCATTTCTCATAAAGAACCTTGAAAATGTTATGCGAAGGTTCCTTCAGTCGCTGGAACTCTGTGAAGAAGATGAAAGGAAGAAGCTTGCAATTTTCTCCGCACTTGCATTCTCCCAGAAACTATCTGGACTTCCACCAGAGACTGTCTTGCAACCACTGCTCAAGGATAATCTTGTGGCCAAAGGGATAGTCCTTGCATTTATTACTGACTTCTTTAAGGAATATCTGCTAGACAACAGTCTTGATGACTTGATATCCATTTTGAAGAGGGCTAAAATGGAAGACAGTCTTCTGGAATTTTTCCCTTCTTCAAAGCGAACTGCTGAAGCTTTTTCCGAGCATTTCACGTAAGTCACATCCTTTTATTTCGATTCTTTTTACCGACCCTGTCCTCTCTTGACACTTTGGGGGGGATTAATGTTTCGAATAAATTATCATTGCTTTGATGTGTGACATCTCATTGGTGCTTTTTGTTGTGGGCTTAGTCCTTAGCTCGAAGTTCTTAATATTGATGAATCCTTTATTTTTTTCAGTAAGGAAGGGCTGCTTCAGCTAGTTGAGTATAATGAGAAGAAAATATTTGAGGAGAAGCTGAAAGAGATGAAGTCTGCTTTGACAACTTTGATAGCTGAGGAGGCTGATCAATCAGAGGTCCTGGAGGTTGTGAAACAACGTGTTGCTGATGCTAAACTACCTGAAATTGAAGTTGTTCGGATTCTGTGGGATGTTCTGATGGATGCTGTTCAATGGTCTGGGAAGAATCAGCAGCAGAATGCTAATGCTGCACTGCGCCAGGTATGTCTCTCACGTTTTCTTGGTTTGCAAGTGCCACGTAGTTCCATCAAATTCTGGTTTGTCAGGGGTTTATTTGGTTGCCATGTATGTTTCCACAGTCCTGTCTTTCCTTCTGTCTTTGAACATTGCACAGGTTTGTATTGTCCTTGTTGCCTTGTTTGTTTCTTATCTTCTATTGCAATCCTTTATCACCTTCATGAAGTAAAGGGAGCTTGTTGATAGAACTCATCTGTTTGTGATAAAGCATTTGTGCATTTGAATGGAGCTTATGAGCTTGTGATGACTGTTGCGCTTTACCACCTAATGCATAGACGAGTCTTCTTCTCTGAACACTGCAGAACAGTACGAGTAGTTCAGGGCTCTTGAACTATTTGACTTTATCCCATGTAACGGAGATGATTCTTTCTGTTTCAGGTGAGAACCTGGGCAAACCTGTTAAATACCTACTGTACTAGTGGGAAACTCGAGCTGGAACTCCTCTACAAGGTGCAGATGCAGTGCTATGAGGATGCTAAGCTCATGAAATTGTTTCCCGATATAGTTAGGGCTCTCTATGACCAGGATGTGCTTGCTGAAGACACCATTCTTCATTGGTTCCGTAAAGGAACTAACCCAAAGGGCAGGTAAGATAAAAACAATGCTGAAGTTCATTGATTTCTCTTCAGATGTAATATTGACTGGCCGTTTCATCCATGTTTCCTGTGCCTGTGTGGATGTTTTCATATGAACTAAATTTGTGGATGATGTTAATTTTGCAGGCAAACCTTTGTGAAGTCACTAGAGCCATTTGTGAATTGGCTTGAAGAGGCCGAGGAAGAGGAATAAATTGCTCTGACAGCAACAAAAGCAGCAGCAGCAGCTGTGGCCAGCAGCTGTTTGTATAAGAACTGCGAGATAATGCAGCTGCTCATTTGTAATTTTGCCTTTGGTTTCTGTTAAAGAGTTAAGTGAAGTTTCGAACGTTGGATATTGGCTGTACCCTTTTCAAACATAACTGTAAACGGTGACGGTGATGATCAAAGCTTTAAAATAATCTTACTTCAAGTTTGCATTTTTTTACACTGTTAAGGCCACCATGATCGTTGACTATTGGTCTGATGGCAGTTGAAGAAAAATACTTTCTCCAACTTGTTTTTATCAAGTGCAACTATCAAAATCCCTTTTTAAACACAGACGAATCAGATGACATTCTCCAAGGTAGGTTTGTTGAAATTCTAAGCGAACAACCTGCTACAGATTGAACTCGCAATTTTGTTTTGGAGAAGAGCACAATCAACTTTGTAGTTTAACTCCAACACAAACTTCTACCTATATGATAGATATGGGTACAAAGTTGTACCTACACTTTAAAAAAAAAAAAAAAAACCAACCCAAACTTGTACCTGCATGCGTTGCGAAACAAATTTTTCAATTGTACAACTCAAACTTAAAATTGTATCTACACGCGATGTACAATTTTGAGTTGTACCTACACTTTGTGCGAAACAAATTCTTCAATGGTACAACTCAAACTTGTACCATGTACGATATGTACAACTGTAATTTGTATTTACACTTTTATTTAGGGGTGACAGTTGGTCGGTTTCGGTTTAACCGAAAACCCGGTTACCGGTTAAATCGAGCCACCCCCTATAGTTGCCGGCCACCGACCGTGAGAGAGGTCACGGGTAGCCGGCCAACCGACCGGTCAGTTTCGGTTTTAGGCTCGGTTAGTCGGCCAACCGGAAAACTACCTTTTCTACAAAAATAAAAAAAAATATATAAAAAAAAAATCTGCACCACTCATCTCAATCCTTATCTTCTCCTCTCTCCTTCCTTCCTCCACCAGACCACTTCTCTTCACTCTCCTTCCTTCCTCCACCATTTCACACCCACCAAAGTTTGGTTTCCCGGTGAAGAAAAGCGTTGCAGGAGACGACTCGCGACGGAGGGAGATGGCGGGAGACGACTCGCGACGGTGGTTGGAGGCAGCGGGCGGCGCGACAGGTGACGGAGACTGGCAGACTGCTGCGCTACGCCGCTGCGTGTCGCGACTCGCGAGGGTGGCCGATTTCCGGTGCAATGGTGGTTGGCGGCTACGGGGAGCGAGGAGGTGAGCAAAAGGACGGTGGCGTTGGAGATAGGAACAGGGGAGTGGAGGAGGCATTTTGGGAGGCCGAAGGGAAAGGAGGAGCTGCCTAATGAGAGGAGGGATGGGTGGATTGAAGCAGAGCTTGGGGAGTTCTTTGTGGAGGAGGACGAAGAAGAAGTGGAGATGAGGTTGAAGGAGGTTGTGGCTGGTCCAAATCCAATTAAAATTTAGGGTTGGAGAGGAGAGGGGTCGTTTTGGTCTTTCGGGTGGGTTGGAGCGGGGTCGTTTTGGGGCTGGCCGGCTGAGGGAAGGGGTCGTTTTGGGTAGGGCTGCGGGGTCGTTTTGAGTCAGGGGGGGGGGGTGGTCGGTTAACCGGTTAACCGCCGGTTACTGACCGCGGTTAATCGGCTAGCCGAGCCTCTCCTCCGGCAACCGACCGACGCCAATACAGAGCGGTTTTTGGTTAGCCGAAAACCGGTCGGTTCGGTCATAACTGACCGGTTAACTGCTAACCGAAAACCGTTCTGCCAGCCCTACTTTTATTGATTGATTCATTATTTACAAGATTGTCATTAATATATGTGGGACCAAGTCACTTAGTGGGATTACCTCCCCAAAAGATAACCCTTTTTATTTTTATTTTTTAAAAAAGCATAGACCGTCGGTATTAGTCAATCATTTTCCAAAGAGGAAAAGGTTTCCAGAATCCAGTAGGGAAAAGGAAAGAAGTCAAACGTAGTACTATAAAAGCAGAGGAGCTCAATCGATCGAAGTGCTAGTCGGTACGTAGCTAGGCAATTTAGGCATGGCAGGCGACGATGAAGAGCACTACACGGTGCTGGGGCTGCCTTCAAGGGAGGAAGGGTTGCGGGTGTCGTCGTCGGAGATCCGCCGCGCTTACAAACGCAAGGCATTCGAGCTGCACCCGAACAAGAGGCCCGGCGACGAGAACACAAAGTGTTGTAATCCCTTTGGTTATTGTCTTAAGTTTAGGGATCACTTTGGATATTTTCCTTGCTCCATGATGTTTTACGTAGAAGGAGCTAGGTTTTGTTTTAAGTAGTTGCTGTTGTACTGTCGAGAACCCTAAGAGCATAGAACTAATCAATAAACAGACTCCGAGAGCTTGCAGCTCTCTGTGGACAAGTCCCGTTCATATCGAGCGGGGAAATCACGTAAATCTCATGTTCTTTTCGTTTCCGCGTTTCATTCCTTTGGAATTTTACATGGTATCAGAGCTGCGCTAAGGTTCAGCGGTGTTTTCCTTTGATTTTCATCATGACCTCGGATGGAGAAGAGTCGTCTGCGACGCAAAAGACGCCAACTGCGGGATCTGCCGAAGCACAAGCCGCCTTGCCGTCACATCTGCAGCTTCATCAATCCGATAGTCCGAGTAATCTGTTCGTCGGAGAGCTATTAACCGATGTTAATTATGGAGAATGGGTGATGGATATCACCGACTCCCTTATAGCGAAGAATAAATTCTGTTTTGTGGATGGGAGCTTACCCGCGGCGAAGTCGCCTGCTGAAAGGGAAGCTTTATTGTGATGCAACGCAATGGTAAAGGGATGGCTTAAGACCTCAATGACTAAGGAGGTACGTAATAGCATCCGTTTCGCGTCTACTGCTCGAGAAATATGGATTGATCTGCAATCTCGATTTGGGCAAGGTAGTGCGCCAATGTTGTATGAGCTGAAGCAGCTTATCGTTGGTCTCCAACAGGAGAAGAAGTCTGTTTCGAAGTTCTACACGAAACTGCGAGGTTATTGGGATGAAATCCAGTCCCTCACACCTTTACTTGAATGAACCTGCTCCGGCTGCACTTGTGACGTCAAACGGCGTCAACGTGAAGTTCGTGAGGGGGAGCGCTTGTTTGATTTCTTGATGGGATTAGGGGACGTTTTCTCTACTGTGAAATCTCAGATTTTGACCATGAAGCCAATTCCAACTCTCGCTGAAGTATATAGGCTCGTTACCAATGACGAGCAGCATCGGCAAATTGCTACGAGTCGTCGTTCGCGTCCGAAAGCTACTGTCTTTCAGGCACAGGGGGAGCGAAGACAAGATCGTGCTTCAAATTCGTCCGATCTTGATCACGAGAAGGAACGTGATGCTGATGGCAAGCCCCGGTGCACCCATTGCCGACGCACTGGTCATCTGAAGGAGTCGTGCTATCGACTCATTGGATTTCCACCTCGCAGAAACGATAAAGGGGAAGTCTCACCGGCGTCCCGATCGTGGCAGTCGAACCTTGGCACAGGCAGCGCAGGTGGACGCAGCAGAGAGTCCGTTACCTGGCCTGACAGCGCGCCAATTCGCGCAGCTGAAGCTTTTGTTGAGTGGCGACTTGCAGCAGCTGCCGCAACCCTCCAGCGACCCCTCTTCCAACATGGCAGGTAATTTCTCTGTCAATTCAGCTTCATGGGTTATTGATTCTGGATGCAACAAGCATATTGTTAATCGTGCATCTCTCTTGACTTCTGAGACGGCCTCGAGTCCCTCTCTACAGGTTAGAATACCAAATGGTACAGGTGTTCACATAAGTAGTGTTGGGATGACTCAGTTGTCTGACCAGTTATTATTACGTCGGTTCTCTATGTAACGGATTTTTAGTGCAACCTTCTCTCAGTTAGTCGGCTTACAGCGGATCTCCCAGTTGCGTTGATATTCTTGAGTGATTTCTGTGTAATTCACGACTTACCATCCAAGAAGCTGATTGGGATGGGTAAGCCTGTAGACGGACTGTATTATCTGAGGCTATTCGAGCAGGAGCACCCTATGGCGCATGCAGTTAGAAGATCCTTGGATGATACGGAGTTGTGGCATTCTCGCCTTGGACATCCATCGGCGGCGAAGCTACATCTTTTGGAGACTACTATTCATTGTTCCTTTATTCATAATAAAGAGCCCTGTCGGTCTTGTTTGAGGGCTAAGCAGACCCGTGATTCTTTTGAGTTGAGCAGCATTAAAACTAAATCTTGTTTCGAACTTATTCATGTTGACGTCTGGGGGAGTTATAAGACTGCTTCTATGTCAGGGGGCACATTATTTCTTGACTATTGTTGATGATTTTAGCCGAGCTGTCTGGGTATTTTTATTGCTTTACAAGTCGGATGTAGCACAACACTTATTATATTTCTGCAATATAGTTCATACGCAGTTTGGGAAGCAGGTTCGGCGGATTCAGGCAGATAATGGACCTGAGTTTTCTAGTGGGACTCTCACTGCATACTATGAACAGACTGGGATTTTGTTACAGACTTCGTGCACCGATACTCCACACGCCTGTTTTGTCCACTGAACGCGACGAGCTAGGTTGTGTTGTTTTGTCATATCTCAAGTCCTAGCGAGTAAAGGGAGGCATAGGCGCAAGTTTCAGGTCTTTTGGAGGTCATTTGGCGATTCGAGGTGCAAAATACGGTTGTCCCCTAAAGAAATACGGTCGTATTTCTCCTGCTCCTGACCGTAATTTTTATGCCGAACCATACCCGTGAAGACGTCTGAGGAAGAGCAAAATACGGGCAAGAACAGAATGGTTTACGGTCGTAATTCCACGATTACTGGCAGTAATTTGGTAATGACGACCGTATTTCCCTTTCATCAGCGCTAAGTGAAACGCACCTTTTAGGAAAAATATGGGCAGGTCATGATTACGACCGTAATTCAGCTCGTATTTCGCCCAGAATCGGATTTTTAAAGCAGATTTGAGCCAAAGGAAAGGGAGACATCTTTTTGAGCAAAAAATAGAGTTTTAGAGAGAGAAAGTTCGAAGAACAAACCCTAGGAGCTATTTGGAGTGGATTTCTCACCATTGAAGCCCATATTGCATCCTCAGGAGTGAAGATCGACATCCCAGAGCAAATTAGTCCCATCTTCATGAGTATGACTGCTCTGATTTCTGTTTTCCTCTCTCTCTTTCTATGGAGTAGAACCTTCTCTCACTTGGGTATGAAGAACCCTAGTTCCATGTGTTAGGGATATTGATTGTAATGA